TTGATGCCTCCGCGAAAATTGGGGAAGTTGGTTTTGAGCAAACAACCATGAATTGATCGTTCAATCTTCAACTACATTGAAAAATGCTGTCAGCCAACTCTTAGAAACTGTAAATGTCCAGCGCTTACTTCGCTGGATCTCACGCTGTCCCTGGAATACATTCAGAAGCAGTTTGTGACAACCAAGGCGAGAAAACCAGAACACAGATCAACGACTCGTGTACCCTTTATTCTTACGCCAATATGTAAGCAACAATAAGGTTATTATACACAAGGCCTAAGAATAAATGTTACAAAAATAAATCACGATATTTCTTCTGACAGTTTTCTCTCTTCCGCCGAACAGCGAACGGTGAGACGGTGACTGCAGTATTGTTGACTTTCACGCAAAATATGAAGGAGTTGGGCTTGAGCAAACAATCATGAACTGATCGTTCAGACTTCGACTGCGTTGACAAATACATGTTAATATATGCGTTAAATTTGGGCGCTGTGATAGTAAGTAATTCCATATTATTTTGTTTATTAGATGTATCACACACTGAAACAGTATTATTTACTGGATGACGTTTCGAACAAAATTTATTGTTCATAATCATATCAATTGTGATCACACGACCTTGAAATTTTAGTTTTATAGTTTTCTTTGTCTTCTATTTGTCGTAGGGGAAGTAGAATTTTCCATATATCTGGGACAGGTGTTGAATCATTTCTATTACATGTATTTGCAGTCGATTCGATAAACAAAGCTTCTGTTATCAATCTCTCCCTCTCTCCACCCTGTGACATTAGATTTTAAAACTGTCATACTATCCCATCTTATTGTATGGTTGTGTGTAACTGCATGTAGTGAGTGGTATAGCTGAACTATTCTCTAGATTTCTTATCTTATTTGGGTCAACCAATCTAGATTTTGCTAGGTTTATATGTTCGGCTAGTTTGACTGCCCCTGTTCTACTAGTTTGACCCGACAATCATCGCAGGCAGGGTGTTAAATAAACTAAATTGTTTTGTTTTAAAGGCTCCACAGGATCCTTTAACCGACAAAGCTTGTTCCTAACTGAGATTGTGGGTTTGAAAGCCAGCCACTTTTATTCCTGCCTTGTTAAGAATTCTGCGTAAGGCTTCCGAGGTTCCTTCATTGTATGGAATTACTACTGGCGCTTCAGATTCCTTATTGTCGGTGTCGTCATCAATATTATTATTATCAATATCACTATTATCATTATTTATTCTATTTTTACATTTACTTACATATTTTTTGACTAATTTATCCGGGTAATTATTAAGTTTCAAGGCTTCTTTTATGTGTATCACTTCCTGTCTTAGATTTCCCTTGGTACTACTTAGTTTTTGTGCTGTCATTTAAACATTTCACTAATCCTATTTTTACTGACATAGGGTGGGATGATCGAAGAACCAAATATCTGTTTGAATGTGTGGGTTTTCTGTAAACACTAGTTTTTAACTTCCCATCATCTTTCCTTTTTACGTTGCAATCTAACTTAGGGAGCTCCCATTCCTGACTTTCCAATTCATAAGTGAATTGAATTGCCTCTACCTTCGAGTTTATGTGTTCGAAAAATCTATCTATGTTTTGTGTTCTGAGTACAGTGAATCTGTCATCTACGTACCTCCACCATACTTTTCGGATGGGAGTGAACGTTTCAATCGCTATGCTTTCCCACCTATCCATGAATACATCTGCTACAACCGGGAATATTGGTGATCCCATGGCAACTCCCTCAGTTTGTTTGTATATATATTCCCTTGGAATTTAAATACTGTAGGTCAACTATATAGGTCAAACTAGTAGAACAGGGGCAGTCAAACTAGCCGAACATATAAACCTAGCAAAATCTAGATTGGTTGACCCAAATAAGATAAGAAATCTAGAGAATAGTTCAGCTATACCACTCACTACATGCAGTTACACACAACCATACAATAAGATGGGATAGTATGACAGTTTTAAAATCTAATGTCACAGGGTGGAGAGAGGGAGAGATTGATAACAGAAGCTTTGTTTATCGAATCGACTGCAAATACATGTAATAGAAATGATTCAACACCTGTCCCAGATATATGGAAAATTCTACTTCCCCTACGACAAATAGAAGACAAAGAAAACTATAAAACTAAAATTTCAAGGTCGTGTGATCACAATTGATATGATTATGAACAATAAATTTTGTTCGAAACGTCATCCAGTAAATAATACTGTTTCAGTGTGTGATACATCTAATTAATAAACTAATATGGAATTGACAATTACAGTATATATAGGCATACCTACAGATACATAAGTATACGGACATGCTGCATCAACCATGCCGTTTTTATCATGATTAATTAGACCACTGTGTGTTTTATAATTATTTAAGTATCTCTGAAAATAATAGTCAAGCGATAATTGAAGTCGCATGAAGTTATCACCTGTTCGGAACATTGCTTGTATTCTCGGTATTCTTGCGAAATCCTCAGATCTTAATATGGGATGAATTCATCGAATTCAGCAAAACATTCTACCGGTATATCATTTCTCTTCTGAGCAGTAACAGTTTGTGTTGTCAGTTATGCACCCAACCTGATAAAACGCTCCCGGAAATTGCCAGCTCAACCAGGCAGCTAAGTGATGCTTGAAATTACAGCAACTCGAATGACAAACTGGCCAATCACAAACGAGTAAATCACTTGTTTATCTCACTCGCAGGCGCACGAAATTACGGTCCGCGGCAGGCTGTCCCATATAATCGCCCAGCTTAACCACTTCGAAAACAACGTTTCCCTATTTGTGTAATTTATAGAATTATACTAGAACTTACTGTACCTATTATAACTGCATCCTGGTTGAATATATTTTATATTTGAATTTGAAAGATGGGCGAATAGATTATTTAGTTCTCTCCTCTAAATCGTTAGGTACCCGGCTGTAGGACCAGTTTGGGGAATCTCCTCAGAGCAATGCAGAACAGAATACCAATGTAAAAAATATATATCGTGGATGCTCGATGAGATACGCATCCTGACAGTTTGTCTTCTGTAAGACTATCAACTACTACCACAAAGGTACGTCAAAATACTTACAACCAATTGTCTCCATAGCCAGGCTGGTCCGGAAAGGACTTCATTCCTTAGGACAGGGCTAGGTATGGTTACAGATTCTTCTATTTCTCGAATTCGCATCCTGGCTAAGATCATAGGTAGATAAGAGCGAGACTGCTTACCATGCAAACACAAATGTGATACTACTCATACAGATGCCGAAAATCATATTGTAGTCATCTCCTAGTGCTTTGGTTAAGCAGAATGGAAGAGTAATGATTGCAGTCAAGGTCGGACAGTTTGCCTGTGAAGTGGTCAGGACAGGTAGTAAAAAATAAGCGTATCCACTCTGTTACGAGTGCAGCTGCCCCAAGAGTATTTCAATTTCAGGCAATCGTTGCGAACACTTCCTTATTCCCAGTGTGTAATCGCTTCGGTCTGTCAGCCGGAAATGAATTTGCACTGAGAGGAAGAGATAAAAGTAGGTTTGGTAGTGTGAGAGGCTATAGACAGCCAAAGATATTCACAAAATCCATTCTGCCGTGGCCTAAAGGAGAGTGTTCAAGAGCAGCTGATGTCTGAAGGTACAGCAGTGTTTTTATTGCACCAAATATATCCATTACCTAAAGGCATCTATGAGCTTACTTAATTACAATATTTTCCCTCCACTGACAGGATATAATAATAATAATAATAATGACAACGAATTTCGGGTAACGAGACCAAGAAGTCCGCCAGATAAGTGTCCGTAACGAGGCGGTATCAGGGTAGATGGCTGGGAACTGTTTCAAGTGGAGGGGCCAAGCAAGAGTACTAAAAAACCTTCGGATGACAAAGGTGACTGAAAATCGTACACCAATGGATTCTAGCGTAACTGGATAGCTGGAAAACTAGGTCTAACATCGTAACTATTCTTTGATAATGTACCTTAGTTAAACAATAGAAGAGGATTGTCAAACATGATTCGTAGTTTGTGAGTGCAGTTTGACATCGTCCGTGTAAACAGAGTTTTGGTATGTGGCCCAGCGTCATATGAAAGACAGCATATCTCTGCTCAACATATCCTGCGAACAACTCTAATTGCAACAGGTTTTATAAACACTTTCCGTCAATGAAACCACTATATCCTACGTACTTATCTCGTGAAATGTTTTGAGGTTGTGCATTCACATGTCTTCCGTCATACTTATTTTTAGTGCAGATCGATCCTATTTGATGGCATTTCCTATTTGTTTCCGTTCTAGAATACTATAATAATTACACCCACCATTCATAGACAATAGTCTAAACGGGTTTTCATACATCGTCTGGAGGGTATTTGATCACTTGTTTGTTAAGAAGTGGGAGACCTGTCTACCATGATTCGAGGGAATATTAAACAAGTTAATTCTAAAATTCTTCCTCCTCCCCCAAAACCTGCTCACTGGAAGAATTTTATAAGTCAGAAAATATTTTCGAAATGTCTTCGACTAAAAGCAATTCTGAGGATGAAATCTGAGTCTGTGGATTCTACGCCTCAACGAGCTTTCTCAGGCTAGTCTGCCAGGAATCTTCAAGAATCTGCACATTACTGTCTCATTTCCGAATTAAAACAAGCCATGATTTCATGCTCCATGTTTGTGAAGAGTAAGCACCTCCGTAGAGCCATTTTATTTTCGAGTTTGCAGACTTCCTACATGCATACTCTACTCTAGGGGTTAATATTTAGACAGAAATTTCACATGAAAATGTGTGAAACTTCTTTTTTGCCCGTATTGAATGGCTACAGTACAAAGTATTTGTTACTGTTTGTTTAATCGCATGTTATTGCATTTCACCTTTGCTGGGGCTCTGTGTTCAATGTGTGTGGTTGCTTTGCCGGATTGTGCATTCCTGATGTCTTCTCAACATTTCCAAATGTGTATTTACCATTTCCTGAAGGATTTAAACAATTAAAACGTATATCGAGACGTTTCGATGCTCAAACCGGAGGATCAGAGTGAGGACTCTGCCAGGAATGGCTATGACTTCTTGAAATCCAGTCTATCTGGTATTATCACGTAAGCCCGTTCATTCCCACCTCATTTTTTTGCAGACCGGACGTGCGTTCGAAAATCGACAATCTAATTCAGGAAGTCGCCTCGTTAAAGGATGTTGAAAAGTTGCTCTTCTGTTTGTTGCTCCCTGTGGAAAGTAGTCATGGTGTTCATGGGCTCAGTAACACATCTTTTGGCCTAACTGGCGATGATCTGGACGTATCTTCAAGTTATGATGTCAATGCTCTGGGTGTTGGCATATTCTCTCCAGGTGGTCAGTCCTCCCTGCATCTCTCCAACCAGGTAGAACAAAGTCAGGCTTACACATGGATTGTATCCCACTTGGAAGAGAATCCATCAACGTGCTTAAGAAAGCATGAAGTTTATGATGACTACAGGTAACTTTGCGTTTCTCTTCCCTCCTGTTACCTCTTTAATACATGTGAATATAGTACTGTAGATGAGTACTGGCTGGGCTATCACATTTTTAATCCCCAACTTAAGATTATAAAAAATCATTTCAGTTAATATAGTCTCGGGTAATTTGTCACTGAAGTACAATAGAGGTAAATTATTATGGATTTCCACTCTTAAAAAACGAACAACTGACATATGAGTGCTAAGGCACTGCTATTTATCTCTTTAGTGCTATGTTCCCATATTCACCCATTTTTTGTACTGATTTACTGTTTATCTGCCCATTATTACTGGCTATTTCATCCTTGGGATTATCATATTTCTTAAAATATAGTAGTCTTGAAACAGTGGTTTGGAAGTCAACTGTCTAAGCCCAAAAACTACACGTCTTTGCATCCGAATCCTAGTTACCTTTATTGAAAGGTCGGTCTGCTTCCAGGGGATTCGCGACGGCCCCCAGTGAAAATACCGCATATACCTAAACAATCCATGGCTCCACTAAATTCTTGTTTTTTTGCCTAATCCACGTCCTTTAATGGTTATCATTTAATAGTTGCAGATTATATCCCTGAAATTCGGCACCACGACTCAATTCAAGTCTGTCTGCTGTAGCATTCCGCTCATATTCTCTATAATATTTCGCTCTCGATTTCACATATTGCGTATAACTATACCTTGACTCGTCAATCAGTGTACAAAATGTCTCGGCTTTTCGGATACACCACTTTGTTTCCTCCTGGCAGTGAACACAAGTAGGTGAGTAAAGCTAAAACAACCCTTCAGGCTAGAAATTTAAGTTACTTAGTTCATACCGCAAAGTTTCAGCTGACTGGTTTGATGCAATAACGGACTTCAAGAAAGCTTCATGGTAATTGGAACAAAACACAGAAAGTCACCAGTCTGTGAATGTTAGTCTAAAACGTCAATGACTAAAAGTCTTTAGACCACAGTATGCATTAATTATGATTAGTTCTTAGGTCTAGTTTTAGTTTGTGCAAATTTCTATGTTCATTTTTTTTTATCTTTATTTGACGTGTTTAAAATGAATTCATTTCCAGTCAGCAGTTGCACTCAACTAATTTTATAGCGATGAACCTATATTTTCAGCAACTAGATTTCAACAGCCAGGTCATAGAATCAAATGTCACGATAAGTATCGAGGTTTAGGAAGTCAAACAGCTTCTCTAAATCACTGAGAGAAGTCTAATCACAGCATTAAAGTCGATCTAAAACATCGGGCAACTTGAAATTAGTTATTTTCAGTTGGCTAACTGACTAACCAATATGGAAATTTTTGCAATACAAATGTCAGTAGATGCTTTTCCTGTGCTTTGAGCCACGCTTGATCTCAGGTCATATAATAGTATTCGTATGATTAGCACATTTGAATAAGACAGAATTCGAGCTTGTCTGTTTTCGACATAGAACTTTGCACCGATGTGCGGAAGTTCGAGTTGCCACACCATGTAGCACATAAAGCAAGAGAAGAAAGCAGAAGAAATGCATAATAGAGACAGTAAACAGAGGTGTGAGATAAAGGAACAGTAATAACGAAGAACAATGTAGTTTCATTGGAAATCATAAGTCACAAGGAGTGGATGCATCTGCGCCATTGAGAACGACTTTCAGCCATGTCACCAATTGTTTCCAACCATAGATTTTTACCGTCCCGAGGACCCCAGCCTGGAAGTTTACACCTTCCTACGTGGCTTAGACCAACTGTTGTGGATTTCATTGACTGGTGCCATATTTTGGTTTGACCTCCGCTAGCTTTCTCCCAGCCTGACCCTATATCAGCTAACATTGCCCATCGTGGAAGGCGATGACTAGACATACGTAACACATGTCCTTTCTCAGTCGATGTAACTTCACAGCCTCGTCGACTGATTTCCCCTCTTTACCTAGAACTCGACCGAAGCCTCACCTCAATATTGCTCATTTTATTATACCACTTCACATGGGAGATAGAGCGCAAGCACCTATGATCAAAGAAAGCTAACCTTTTCATGTCTTCCACTCTCAATGGCTAGGTCTCACAGTCGTAAAGGGGGACGGAGCGGAATGCTGCTGAAGCAGTACACACACCCTTTGGTCGATAGGTAGCCGGATATCACGTCTACGCCAGAGACGGCGTAAACTGGCATATTCGAAACTAGCCCTCTGTATCCGCGCTCAGATTTCGTCAGAAATCAACTCGTTGGGGCTGATGGTACTTCCCAAGTACGTGAAGCGGTCAACGTGCTGTACCACTTCACTTCCTATTTCTAATCTAAGAGGCGGTGTAGTCCAGTCCTGTAACATCATCTTGCATTTAGCGGAAGCGAATCGTATGGCAAACATTCGTAGATTGCAGCTCAAGGTATTCAGAAGACTGCATTTTGTCAGTGTCCTCGCCTAGAAGGACTATATCGTCTGCATATTCGAAGTCAACGGGATTATTCCCTGGTAGCAAGTCAATCCCTGTGTCTCTGAAATTAGGGTTAAGTCCATTAGTACATCTATGATGAAGTTGAATAGAAAACGGTATAATGGGCATCCTTGACGGACACCATTAGTCGTCACCAGTTCAGATGACAACTCGCCGTAAGCTCTCACCTGGCTGTATGAGTACGAGTAGAGTGCCTTAATCAGTGTAATGTATTTTCTCGGCATACCCTTTACAGCCAAGCATCTCTAGAGAACCTCTCGGTCGATAGAACTGAATGACGCCTTTAGGTCAAGGAATATAATGATTGTTGGACGCCGGTAGGAATGCCTGTGTTTAAGAATCTGTCGGAGGGTGAATATATGATCAATACACTCTCTTCCTGGTCTAAAGCCTGCCTGGCTCTCTCGTGTTTGTGCCTCTCGAGCCCCACTTAGTCTACTCATGATTATTGAGCCTAAGACTTTAGATACTATATTAGTCAGGCTAATCCCTCTGTGATTATCACAGGAAGACTTGTCTACCTTCTTGTATATGGGGATAATCAGTGACTTACACCAACCCGATGGGACTTTTTCTGATTCCCAGACGCTGTCTAAAACCTCAGTTAATGCAGACAGTAAACTGTCTCCACCGAACTTAAATACCTCTGGAGTCATTCCATCAGGTCCCGCTGCTTTGCCTAGTTTCAGATTAGTGACAGCTGTAGTAACTTCAGTTAAAGAATGATGACCTGTGTCTATGTCTCATTCAGGGAGGTGTTGGATGTTCGGCAGGTTAAGCGTGGTGGTAGGCCAATTAAACTGCTCCTCATAGTGCTCTTTCCAGCGTTCCAGTCGTCTATCCTGGGAGCTAATTATAGTGCCATTTTTCTCAGAGATTGTTTCACTTATCATTTGCCTTTTGCCACCTGTTTCCTTGATAAGCCTAAATAGTTGTCTGGTGTTGCCAATCGCCGATGCCTTCTTCCATCTCCTTCCATCATTTCGAGCTTGGACTATGTACTTAAACAAATATGTCACAATGCATAATATTTGTATGCAACTCAACACCAGCCACTGCTTCTTAGTTCCATTTCAATTTTATTAGTTTTCATGCATCCATCTGTTACATCTTTAAGGATTTTTTTGTCACTCTTTCCTACTCCTTTCTCTAGTATTAAAATTGCTAAAATAAGCACAATACGTAGGTTCAACATAGGATTTACGTGTTCAGTTGCTCATTTGATACTTTTGGTTAGGAAGCAGTCGTGTAATATGTTGTTGTCTACATCAAAACTTTGGGATTCAGTGACACTAGAACTAGTGACATAGTGTTGGTCATACCTCTTGATTTTGCTCAGAAATGCTAGTTTTATGTTTGGTTGTTATCCACAAAAGGAAATTATCAATTGAAGTTATGCCAGTAAAAGTTCACTTAACTGGTTCAGTATTCCATCGACTGCTTGCTAAAATGTGTACAACATTAGCCAAACTCTCATCTTATAGCATCTGTTCACTACTATATGTTACTCAGAATTCTTTTTCGTAGGACAATACTGAGGCATTAACTTCAGTTTACTGCAGCGGTTGAGTTTACGTAACAATCTGATATTCTGCCGTTAAGTGTTCAAAGTGCTGGAAATCTCTTAGAGTCTGCATTATCTGAGTTTTCTTCGGCAACAGTTACATCAAGCGGCGATGAAACACTTCTCGGTCTGAGTCCCCCTTATACACAGTACTATTAAGGGAAACAAATATTCATCTGTTAAAATAGTTTTATAATTGTTGGTGATCATGGATACTTACACTATTATATCGTAGTGTTTACTAGTGTTTCTGGTTATACACATATGTGTTTCAGACTCATATTTTACTGTTTTCAACGTAGAACTTTGTCAGAAGTGCAGCAGTTCAGACTCCATATAGCACACAAAGGTAGAAGAAATAATTTAAGGTTGCTGTTATAGACTAAAATGTGAGAAAAAAATTATTGCATGGAGAATAATGGTAATGTAATTGATCCTGAAAACTACGAAAAGTGAGTGCATCTGCACCATTAAGAAGATTCTGAGCTGTCACTAACAGTCTCGAATTATTGGTTCTTAAAGTTTCAAAGACTCCAGGCACTCTACACATATTTACGGAGTACAAATCAGTAGTCAGGGATCTCGTTGGTTGATGACAGATTCTGACCTGGCCACCACGAACTTTCTTCAAGTGTAATCTCGCGCTAGCATTTCTGGACCAGGAAGGTGATAGCTTGGCATGCTTAAAACGTGTCGTAGCTATCTCAATTGACTTGGCTTCCTTACTTTACACAATGCCTAACCCTAGTACTACTATGCTATACCACTTAACACAGGAGGTAAGACACACTTTTAGCCGAAGATAGCTAACCTCTTCATACCTGCTTTCAATGGTCACACTTCACAGTCGTAAAGAATGTATAAACGAACTGCTGCGCAGTATACACGCCCTTTGGTCCATAGCGGGACATCCCATACGAACCTGTTGTTTCTGTGATGACATTTTGTCAGCCTTCAGTCAATTATAGCTGGTGCAACTTCCCAAATAAGTAGTGGTCGACACTCAATTATCTCACTCTATCTTTAAGCTAGGAGCCGGGTCAGACCAGTAATGCAGCACCACTTTAAATTTGATAAGGGCGAATCGTGTGACAATAAATACGTCCCAATTAGTTTCTTGTAATAATCTAAAAACTCATTATACTGTCTCGCGAATATCATTCTTGCTGAATATTCTTGGATTACGTGTAGAAACCTTGATATGTGGTTGGCGATATAATGTAAGAAAAACAAGTGTAACAGTTAAAATATAGCTTCATAACGTGTATATGAACCTCAGATATCATAAAGTCATTTGTGCATACTCAGTTTAGTGTAGTATACATGACAACCATAAGCTGGTCAGGTGCTCGTGACAGAGTAATAAGGAGAAAACCTATTCTATTAACCAAAGTTTAGTGAGTACTCTTCGTCTGCACACTAAGTGATACGGCATGTAATGCTAATCAATGCATTATCATTTCATAGTCTAAATGGCTTGTGTAGAAATTTTTGTTCTCTTCAGTTTTAAACAATTTGCACAAACCTTAGCGCTGCACAGTCAAGAAGGTTTTAACCCCTCTGGTAAAACTAACAAATTTCACAGTTTAAAAAATCCAGTATCACTAAATTCTCTTTTTTAGCACTTAGTTTACAAGTCAGCATAATTTCCAAGTTATTTCAGTTGGGACTTCATAATTAAACACGTTCATGATGACAGAAGAATATCTTTAACAAATAGAGTAAAACCATATTAGAAACAAACGATTAATGAATGAACAGGTATATTTACAGGACACAGGAATAAGGTACAAGGTAGATTGCTGAAAATTACCAGGTATAGTAAACTCTAATTGGAAATATGCCTTTAGCACAAATCCAAGTCAAGAGTTCATTATGTCATCAGTAACAGCATCCTACTGAACTTTAAGGCACTTATAATATGATTTTCATCTCTATTATATTTATTCGGTTAAATCTCAGTTACAAAGTAAATTAAAACGTTTGAGTCACTCACTAGTTATACTTCTTTGATATCCTACAAAAATCGTGAATTCATTCTCTACTTTGTTCATACGTGTATCCTGAGTACAACTCAGTCATCAAAATTTTCATATTATTACGTAACTGCTTTTTAACAACTGTTTGTGACAACTCATCACCTTTGTTACTACACTAGTTTCACTAACACCCGATTTTTTTGACCCTTCTCGTATTACGTAACTCCACCCAAAACTTACTAATTTTCACCAGTTTAGTTAAAATAACCATAACCAATTGTATTTTTGTTTGACAAACTTAATGAACACATACGTACAAAATAACCCCATATATATATATATTTGCGATTGTACAGCTAAGAAAATGAATTCGCTGAACTACATGTTTTTTTTTCAAAAACGGTTTTATCATGACCTTTCGTTTTTTTCAGAGCGTATTGTGAGAAACACCATATGAAGACCCTAAATACTGCAGACTTTGGAAAAGTTATGAAACGTGCATTTCCGAATGTAAAACCTCGACGTTTAGGTCAACGGGGACAATCCAGGTGAGTCGGACTACATTTTCATTATAGTTTCTGGAAACATGGATTTTCTATTGAAATGTCTACACACTTTGAATCTGAAGCGGGAAAAGCTCACTTTTTTGTAATAATTGTTAACCAGTACTTCCTTTCTGGTAAACACTACACAAAGCCTCAGGATGGTCGGGGGTGGGTGTCTTGCGCTGCGGGTTGGCCACTCCTCCGTACACCTCTTGAAATGCTCCCATATGACCGGGCGTCTTACATAGCCTCTCCTGAGGAAGTCCTACTCACTGCCTTCACGTGGCGGAGGTGTTTTTCACCAAAGTGAGAGGGCAAAAGCGGATGCCCGGCGCTCTTCACCGGGTTGACTGTCCATTGGATGACAGTCTAGGGGAGATGGCTAAACCCTGATTCCAAACCTCCAACGACTGGCGTATGAAGCTCACGGGCAGACGTATGGACAAAGGGCTTATTGGATGCCCTGGATGACTGGCCCCATTCAAAAAGGCGAATGAACCGGACTCCGGTCACCGGCTGCCAATGGATAGTGGACTCCCTACTCCACTCCTGCTGCCTTGTAGGTCACACTTGGTTGTGTAAAGGCTAGAGCTGCACTCTCAAACAAAAGGCCGAGCGATGCTGGGAACATCACTCGTACCCAATTCCCGTGAAACTTCATGGTTCATGAAGCCGGCTCATCCTCCCGTAGGAGATAGCCGAAGTAAAAAGAAAAAGAAAAGTAATAAAGTTGCAACATAATTACTACTTCTTTGGATTTAAAGTCATATTGGATGAAGCCTTAAACCACCCGTAGAGTACATTAATAAATATAGAGATTTGTGTTTCAGGTGGATGAAATTGCTGTAGTTGTATTCTCTGAGCCATCCGGCTTAGTTGCAAAGTTATCATTGTTCTTCTAAGCAATGTCTTAGGCGTATGTTCCAATATGTGAGTTTTTTAGGATTCTCCACTAATTTATCAGCTGTCTCTTTTTTAACGCTGAAAGAGAACAGCCATTTCTGGAGAACCCTAAAAGATCTCTTCAAATCGAAATATGTGCCGATAAGGTTGTGTAGAAGGAAACTGGGAACTTCGCAAGTTAACCATCCAGCTAAGAGAACGCAGCCACACCAATATACCAATAAATGCAAAATCCTGCAGACTACTCTCGTCACAGCTCTTTACCCCATAGACTAGTAACTCCGTCATACCAGTCCAATAGTAAATTGTACAAACCATTGATACGAAATAAGTAGTGTTTCAGCCCACAGTACCTTTGTTTCAAAAGGTATGATAATGGTATTCGTCTCGATCAGAAATATACAACCATACTGTAGAATTACGTGGATTAGGCATATATATATATATATATATATATATATACTTCGCTTTGCCTGAATATGGCAAATTATAATGCTTCAAGCATTTGATTACATACTGAGTAGTGATTGGTCCTAATTTATTCATTTATTTTAAAATGCAACGAGCTAAACATACAATGTGACACCTCTACTCAAGCAGTTTTGCTTGTTTCTTACTGGTTACTCGTTGTTTGTAACTTCTATGTCAGAAAGACTGCGTATTTTGAGTTACCTCCTTCGTTAACAAGCATAGTGCCTGAAGTCGGACTGGCTTAGAAAAGGTCAGGAGTAGTCAGTCAGGCTGTAGCACCGATCTAACAGATTATTAGTCGTTGATCTTAGTCATTCAGAGAAAGTTAGGCTGTCTGCATGACATTCCTTCGATTTTAACAGATAGTAGTTTGACGTGGAGAACTGAAGCACTTCTATGCAAAGTTCCACGCTGATCTATTGGTCAGTCATTTCAGAAATCTTGTTTAATTACATATATGTTTTGTTAACAGTGGTCTGCTTGACTAGCAAAAAAGTGCCATGAAACTTGATTTTGCTTTTGAATACTTTAAATCAACTCTCTTATTAATTTACGTATTATTCATCTTACTTTAAGTTACTTGCTTGTAGTCGATTAACATGCTACCCCAAACTCCTGAAAAAACGGTTATTTCTTCTTTCTCCACACATAATGTCAAAGTAGTGAATAAATTATCTGAAATCCTGTCAACTTGTCACTCGATTAGTACTAAAAATTAGTACTACGGCGAATTTAAGAGGGAAATCAGTTTTCTGACATATCAAACAGAAAAGGTAAGACACATAGAGAAGATCTTTATCTTTCTACACAACCCATATCGATCTGCAACTACTTAGGAAACTTTTTTTTTCTTGTATCTGCCGCTTGTCGTCTTGCTATCCGCTAACTATCTCACATTTTCGACGCATTGCATACAGGCTTTGTCTAGTGTGCGCTTAAATCACATAGTCTACTGTCCTACGTGACCCTTAGTCATTTTTCACTTGTAGATATCGCTGTCCAGTAGGCATGAATGGATTCGAAGTATGTATACTACCTTGTATTCCAGTCTTGAATTTTATTGTAGACCCAGTCTGGTTTTCTCATAGGGTGGGTGGTGTGATAAATTTAACATGATAGTTTAAATAATAACAATTGTTTGGGACGAACATTTACTGCCGATTTTACATTTAAGTCCATTGTGATTGGCCGTTGTGAATTTTCATCTCATCCCTTTATAAATTAAGGTTAAATCAAATTGCCTATGCAGACCCAAATAACATTGTTTCAGTTCCAGTCTTATTCTGTATACTCGTATTCTAATTAAGGATATTTGGCAGTTTCTGTTGGCCAGCATTAATTTTTACAAGAAAATAAAAAAAAATACTTGGAATGGCTTTTATAGGGCATTCACTATCTACATTTGTCTAGGAAGATCTACTAATTTTAAATATATGCAAAAATACCTGATTATAGATGTGATTTGAAATATTCTGTTTTTCTGTCCTCAATAATCACAAGCAGGTGATGTTAATTAGCAGCTATAAAAACGGTCGTTATATTTAAATTCCTGAAAATTTCTTCATCTATATAATTGGACTGCATCTCAAAACACTATCAAGGGATGTGTGTATATATCTTGAGTGGGCAATTTTGGATTAAGGTTCACTAATTTGCTGACTCTAAATCACCATAATCTCGTACCAGGAAACAATTTTTATGTTTCCTCAATCATGTGTGGTGAGATTGTCAAAGTGAATGTTTTGTAGTTGGTCTATACACTTACAACTACTGGATGTGTTCAGGCCCTATACCATACTGTCTATTTCAGTTTAGGAAACTGGGAAATACTCTAAGTACACATTAAACCTTGTTCACTATTTAGTACACAGAGTTATACCGGGTAGTTTAAGTTGTATCTTGGTTTGTATTTAAGGCATCCTTAACCACAGTTAAACTGTTTACATAGTTTAAATACTTGCACTATTTGTACGTAACATACGTGTTCCCAGTTCTACTAGGCAGTTGAACTGGGATGTCTTTGCAGAATATTCATATGCAATTACTTTGCCGAGAAATTGTAGGCAACGGTCTTCTGGCAGTAGTTGTTTCTTTGTTTTTAAGACCTAATATTCAACCCAGTGGTAACCTGTTCAGTCCCATTATTTGAAATTAGATGTATCAGCAGCTCCCGGGGAACTGTTTTTCAGTAGTTCCTTGTACTTCAGTACTTTTTGCACAATCTAATAAAGACATGGCTTGTCGACGTCACACTGTCTCGTTCTCAGTGGTGCAGATGCATCCACTCTCTTATAATATCCAATAAAATTATATTGGTATTCAAGGGATGGTTTGTAGGGATTTGATTGTTATTCTATATTACTATTCTCTTTGCCTCCTTTTCCTGTTTATTATGTCTTTTGCATCTCTCTTTACTCTCTTCTCTTGCTTTGTGTGTTACATGGAGAGTGGCAACCCGAACTGCTGTGCAGTGTGCGAAGGTCCTAAGTTGAAACCTGTCAGTCAGGCAGTTATCTCCTGCTGCCCTGAGCAGCAAGTCGTTTAAGAAGTCCCCCCCCCCCCTACGTCGAATGCCACTGTGTCTTCATTGGCTACTTTGGACTATTTTTTATGTTTAGAACGCATTGATTTTTCACTACTACCGGCTTTAAATATTCAATATGTTTCTTTAAGAATAAATTAACGACTAGTCGTGTAGAACATGTTGCTAGGCTATTCTCATACATTGCAATAAAAAGTCCAATTTCCAGTTCATTCATATTCCTATTTTTGAATGTTTTGGGAACATGTCTTTCACTGTCAGCCTAAATTGTGAACAAAGGAAATGATGCTCTTTGAATATAATTATAAACAAAACTAATGTTTGTATGCTCAGAAAAAATGGTTTCTGTTACTTGTGTATTTGCTAATGTGAATAGGTAACATATATCTTGATGACTAATAAACGTGTAATATCTAGCAGTATGAGGATTTTAAGGAATTGAACATGATATTCTAAAACGGCTGGTAAAGTTAGTCATAGATAAACTAGCAAGTGGTTAGCTGACATAAAGCGTGGTTATGACTCAGTGCTAAACAATTTATTGATTTGGTTAGGCTAATTACATAAAACCAAGATGGCGAAGAAAGCAACCGCTTGTAGGTATGCCGTAGAATTGGGTTATGCTGCAAAATTCGAAATATTATGGTAGATACTATCACCTTGTGAAATTTTCGAAGTTATCAACGTGAGAGAAACTAATCTTGGGTAAGGTGGTGAAAGTTAGGAATTTCCGAATTTAGATAATACCTACTTTTCTTTTTTTGATCTCATAATTCTTAACATCGTATTTTGATCATTTTCATCAACTCATCTAACTCAACACAGTATCACTGTTTGATTGGTGGATGATGACCAGCAGTGGAATCCAGGACGCACATTTCGTCCAATTTGGGACTCGTCATCTGGATTTACCCGCATTTCTCAGTGAGTGATGATGTCCCCACCTAGGCTCGAACCCAGTGCCCATAGTTTCAAACGCCAAAGCGTTATCCACTAGACCACTTGAGCCACAAGAGCCACCTCTTGTGCAACGGGTCATATTGATTTCATTTAATTTTAGATTTTCCCGTCGATTTATTGGAACGAAGTGCTCGGTTTCAGGTTGACATGTCGGCTTCTTGAGCAGATGCTTCGACGATGTCTGTGCATTTAATTAGTATTATTTATTTACTTATTAGTCTGTTTCAAGTTTGCATAAATTTTGTGACTAAAATATATTTATTTGAAAAGGGATGGTGTAATCAGTGATTTGTATGTGCAACAGTTATAATCTATTCAAAAATCTAGTTTTTATTTTTTGGGTTGAATAGATGCACTGTAGAGCAAGTGTGACATTGCTCATACCTTATTCACTAAATAGGTGTCTTTTTGACAAAAATAGTAGGTCGGGCTTGCCACGTGTCCTGTGTCATTTACTAAAATTTCAAACCAAAAAATGTTTCACTGATGTCTTTCGGTTTTCTACTTCCCCCTCACTCAAGATATTGTTATGGAGGCATGCGTAAAAAGACTGAAAGCCAACCACCATTTCTACCTGATCTTACAAACGAAGCTCTTGGAATGGCATCTCAAAATACAGTTAGTAGATCCGCAGCATCGCCAGGAAGTAGCTCTGGAGGAAGTTTTGAAGCAAATTCTCAATAAATATTTCGTCCAGTAGTCCGCTAATCCGTCTTCTAAAGTCTAATGGACCTGACATCGATTTGGTCAGTTGGGCTGATGATCCATCCATAAGATCCGCTCTAGGCATTCGTGGTTCAATCGTAGCTGACGTGGCTCACATTCTTTTGGAGTATGCTCACCAAGTTTTTGGAGTGCAATTTAAGTCATTGTTTCAACTTGCCCAACATCTGGTTACAAACCGATATGTCAACTCTAGGTCAAAACATGCGTTTGCTTTAATCGCTCATGCAGCTAACCCTCCTGTTTCATTTTCTCCACCACCTTCCACAGCCCTAGCGGAAGTTCTTCAAAAAGGTTAGTTCGCTACAGATTGCAATTCAATCCATTCGAATATGTTATATCATTATGTCGTACATGTCTACTGAGATTTGTTTTTTTATTTCTTTGTGTTGTGTTTTTGTGATGCATTTTAACATTGTCACATTCTCTGTATGAAATCTTTCTCGTTAGTTCTGATCAAATAGACTAATCTGATGAGAATATATAGTGGAGAAGTTTTCACACATTTTGTAATACTTCTCAGATGGACAAATTCTAAATAGCACATGGTACATTGTAATAGGTCTGCGGATTATCGCAAGCTGCAGGTAACTGAATTGAATAATTAGCCTTTAGAGAACACAAGTGATGTAGTCTTGCTTGTTTTAGTTTAGTGGTACCAAGTTATAACAAGCTATAACTGTAATCTCGTGAATCACACTGGCCGATGCAGTACTGAATAATGCGTTTTCATACTGGTGGTAAGTGAGTGAATGAATGCCTATAGGTCTTTCTATTTCTCATTAAGCCATACTTTCGTAGACACATAACAGTTGATATGCATATTTTGATGCACATAGTCTTGTATATTTTTTTTACCAAATAAAAACCCAGTTTCTTCTATTTGTATGCTGCATTCTTTCCCACCTGTTCACTCAGTTAATTCATCTTATTGTGGGCACAGGTGCATAGGCTTAATTCCCATCTTGAATGACGTGAGTTTGCTGATGTATCTGCATGTATAAATAATACTAATTTGTATGCAACGATAGTTCTTTTTGCATAAGTAAATAGTTCACGTGGTTATTATTGCACTAAACAATAAGCAAATCATACTGACTCACTCACTCGATAGTGCATGTAATTCATGGGGAAACTGATGTCTAGAGTTGTACGTCTGTTCCACTGAAAGTGAGATTTCTCTTTTCTTTATATGAGTGGACAATTTGCAATTATCTCAATAAGACTTTATTCGTTATGTCCTATAAAAAACTAATTTTTAGTCATTTTATTATCTATCATTAATGCAGTAATAATGTGGTTACGATTCGCTAAATTTTTTCATCATACTTAATATGTTGCAATCTAGGTGCTGTCAAGTCAGCTTTTGACAAAATTCGAAATGGTCGCCAAAATTCAGCAGCCAGTGATTCATCTTATAGATCGGAATGCATTAAATTAGAAGGTAAGTAATGCCTTATTTGACTTATACATAGTAAAATTTGTTTTATCGAGAGCTGGTAAGTATGTGATTTTATCAAATCTAAAGGTTTCATTGAAAGAGTTGCAACTCATCGATCTGTGTACTCAACTTTTGACACGTGAATCAACAGAATAAAACTCTCTTGACTGCATATGCACTGGTTTCAATGTTATACAGCCTCATACATAGTGTTGTGACGCCTAAATAACGTATATGAATATGGTTACTGAGCTATATTTCATTCAGTAATTTCAACTGTAAATTATGTGTAGTCTATTTTATCTCCTATTACGTGGCAATGTTTTAATGTTTGTTTTCAAGTAGTAATTTTGTGGTGGTGTGATACAGACAGTATGTTTCAACGGAATACTATTCTCACATATTCCCACATTTCAATATGACATTAGCAACAGAATACTATATGTTTGAATATTCTGTGTGTTGCTAAAGTTGGAATGTTATTCCCACAGTTATGGACTGTATTAGCAACAGAATACTGTGTATATTTGGACACCCTATTTAATGTAAACAGAAGTCACACGCTCAATGATCCGTTAGAGAATGTAGAACTAATATATATATATATATATATATATATAGCGGTTTGATCACTTTAAAATACACCTAGGCTTCCGTGTTTTGCCTTCTGGTGTTAGAATTTCACATTTTTCATACCTTTCCTACGAGCCAGGTGTTGTCTTATTGTCTTTTCCTTAAAAGGATACCTAAAAGCTTCTGTTGAAGTGGCGTCGAAATTATATTCAAAAATGAATGAAAAAGATAGATTGATGCTCCTATGGACATATGTGGGAGACAAACTATTGAAATAAAGATTAGTGAGTATTCAAGGATTTTGAGCATGAGGACATAATGAATATGAAATATTTCGAGCTATGTCACCAATAGTTTTCACTCACTAGTTGAGGTCTATGGAATTTCATCCATGTATGCTTGACTTCTCAGTGGATGCGAATCCCTCTCCAGGAAATACTGTCACACAACAGGTATGGGTCATCGCTAACTGTGTATAGATTCAAACGTTCTCGAGTGGCATTTGTTTTCCAACTTTCACCCTAACCCTATTTTAGCTAACATTGTTTATCGTGGAAGTTAATGGCTATACACTTGTCATTATATTTAGTTACTATCCCCCACTTCATCACTTGATTCGCTTTTTGTTTAGGAGTTTGAAGGTTTACACTGCTTTCCTCATGAACTTACATCACATGAGCAGTGGAACGTATCATCAAAGCCTGTATTTCATGAAAGTTGGCTTTAGGGTATTATGTGACTACATATAATAATAATAATAATAATAATAATAATAATAATAATAATAATAATAATAATAATAAGGTAAACACCGTCGTCTCAATGAATAAATTAACAGGTTTACTATTAATCAGCTCCACAAAACTTTCGTTTAAGAGGTATGTCTATAAGTGTTACAGCAGACTGTTTTGAAATCATTTTGTCGCCTCTAGGTGGTCGAACTTTGAACAACGTTCATAGTCAATTATAAACTACTGAGTAATTTTTTTAGGCCATCTAAATAATCAGTTCTTATTGCTTTCCATCAAAGTGATTTCCTAACTAACGTGTTCAAACATTGTGAGTTTCAAAATAAATTCTATTGCGTAACAGTGTTTTTGAAATCTGTAATATGGTATTTGCCTGTACTTTTTATTAATAGCAGTATATCGATATTACGAGTGCAGTGTGTTCTACAATATGCAATACAATATTTAGTATTCTATTATTATTATTGTTCCCTAGTGTCTCACTCGCCGCTTCCCTTTCGGGTTCCACTCGAGTGATAGCCTGATGCGCGCTGTCACCCAGCGGCCTCTTCAGTGAGTGTCCAATCCATCTCCACTTTCTCCTGCGTATTTGTTGGGCGATTGGCTCTTGTTTTGTTTGTTCCCATAGTTTCTTGTCGGTGTTAGTATTCTAATATACTTTAAATAATTTTTACATTCTCTATTTACAGGTTTTCATACACCTATATCTACAAACAACAGTTCCCCAGCAAATGCTCTTTCCCAATCATCTGTATCCGATAACAGAAGTGCAAATCTCTCTACATCTATTCCTAATCGTGGCATGAATAATCATGGAATGCCAACACTTACATCGTCTACTCCTTATAGTACTGTTCAAATGTCTCACTGTAGTACTGCACAGCGTGTTGTTGACAACAAACCATATGAATCAAATACTGCTGCATTGTCACAAAATAGTTGTGTTAGTTCGTATACAGCTTCTGTTTTAGCATCTCCATCTGCTTTACAATCTTCAAATCAACATTTATCAAATTATCCTTTTACTTTAACACAAGTAAATACAACGTCGTTTATTTTAATAATTTTTGCGTCTATCATAAATCAATGCATGCATACAGTCCACTTTTTTTAACGGTACTAAACTGTGAATAGCATTATAATAATAGATAAGATATATAGCTCAGATGAATGATTTTGATTTGTTTGTGTTCTCTGAGCTGGTTGATTTAATGGCAATAGCTTAAATTGAAGTTTAAAAATTTCTAATGTACACTTGTGTAACAACAGAAGACAAGGGCCAGTAAACAGATCGTTCATTAAGGAAATCAACACTTATTTATATATTTTCATGTACATTATTATAGCTTATTCCAGCAAACAAACACAGTCTTCTGATTGGTTGTTTCTCACTGAAAGTTAACCTTGCATCTCTTTGTGACTGTTTCTTAAATGTCAGATCATCTATATGTTAACTGTATCTGCCTACGCAAAGTCTAATGTGGTTGGTTGTTGAATCAGTCTTTGTTCATATTTTCTCACGACCAATATTTGGGACATAAACATTGACGTAAATTAATGTCTACCAATTTGGCTAGCAGCCGGCTCTCACCACACTTAAAATTATGTCTGTTTTTCTACTCTTTGTAACTATATTTAAATAATGGACCATAGACTATAGATGCCATTTACTGCTATTGAAAAGAGGAAAGTAAGTGGGTTCAATGACGTTCCTTTTTAAGGGGTCCATTCATGCAGCTGTACAGTTGTATTCATGCACAATTTTTTGATAGACATGTGAAATTGAAGTACACATACTGTCTAGATTACTTGTATTTCAATCTTATCAATCTGCAAGCCCAAAAAACCTTGCTGTATCCTTACGTTGTTTACACTGGAGGTTGTCAATTGTTGTGTAAAGTTCAATGATTGTCTGTTTTATAAATCATCTTTTAATATATTTCAATCTTTTCCAGAATCTTCGAAATAACTCCTTCAATCATCCATATTCACATACCGGTTCTTCTGGTCTAACACATCCTTCAACAGCAATGGCTTTGGCTGCGGCAGCTGCTGTTGCAGCACATCAAAAACATCAATCCGGTGCACCGAATTTTTCCCCAAATGTTTTCGGCTCTAATTTCTCATCTCCGCTTGGCCAGATTACTGGTCCTGTATCACCATCTGTGGATTCCCGACATATTACTGCTAATGCTGTTTCTACTCCACCTGCTGCTCATCGAGAGAAACATTCCGGGTATGACTAATTCAAATGGTTTTAAAATTTATTCATTATCAGGTTTTAGGGGCACTTTTACTTTATGGTTTATACGTGTGTATTTGGAGGCTTGTCTATATCCTTTCGTAGTTCCTTTTCTTTTCAACCATTAATTAGTTCCTTCTGTGTATACTTTAGCATTTTGGAAACATCCACACCGACTACCCAATCCGATTCAGTCTATTCAAATTTGAGTGGTTATCATTCTCCGATCACTGGTAACTCTATGTATGCTGCTCATCAACACACTTCTCCTTACCCAAGACCACAACAACCACCTGCTCCCCTTCCTCCAGGAGTTGGTGCACGTAGTCCGTATGCTCAAGTTTCACACCTTTCTGCTACAAACACGGACTCCAGTCAGTCAGGATTCAAACGGACAGTCCCACCTCATCCTGGAGAAGCTCCAGGTGCATACGAGCCATCGGTACGTGTACTTTGTAAATGATTACCGATCTTCATCAATCAATTGTAATTTATCATTTCGCTTATTATTCACTCCATTATGTTTTAAGTGGTACACAGAGCTTCAGGGGACTGACTGCGTTGAAAGATCTCTATTAAATTATTGTGACTTAAGTTTGAATTGCATTTCTTCATTAGTTCTTGCATAGACTTACCGATTGTGTGCTGATTAACACTACAGTCTTTAACATTTGATACCAGAATAGAGCGCAAAAATTGTGTCAAAATTTGATCCACCGTGACAGTTAACAACTGCGAATGCCACTTGTAGTTCTTCATCTTGTACACCTAGTCTTCATCTCTGCTGTACTGTAGATCAGTTTGTTCGTAGTTTTACTGCATTTTATGTAGTTGCCTTGACAACCCACGAAGATTGCTAGGTTGTCATATTTACTACTTATATTCGGTAGTCAGCGCATTTCAGGAGCTTCAGTCTTTTAACTTGACATTAGAGTGAATTCAATAGATTGTTGACTATATTTATCGATTAACTAGTGTAAAATATCGCTTATTTTTCGCACTTTTTTATACTGAAAAATCTTAATCTTGTGGTACTGATGTTCTTCTATGTTTATAGCCACGATTCCACTTGGGTGGTCAAAGTCCAAGCAAACGTGCTCGTTATTTGTCAACAGCTTCTGGATCTAGTACTCTCTCATTATCAACAGATGGTCCACCACTTAGTGGTGGTAGCTGCCCAGATGGTAGTGAACGCCTTTCAGACCAAGTGACACCAACTTTGGATCAAAACAATTCTGTAGCTGCTCCTTCACCTTCCAGTAGTGGTGGCAGTTCGTCAAATCCTACCCATATTCCGCCAAATCCATCAGGTTATTCTGGGCCATGTGCTGCTGCCCCACGCCAATATTGTGTTAATAATCTCGACCAGTCATCATCTATGCCTTCACCATACTATCCTGGTCGCTATGAAGGATTAGAAATGCACAGCCCTGCACCCCCTCCACACGGTCATATTAGGTCTCATCATGCATCAAATAACACAGGATCATCTAGTTCACAGTGGAATGTAAGTTATTTCATTGTCATGATTCTTGAAGCTGTTTGTTTATTATTCAGATTGTTTATTCCATATTCCAGTCTTGTTAGCGTGTTGTAGTGCCGACTTCTACCTATACGTAAACGTCTGACTTCAAACTGTATACATTAATCTGAGCATTAAATATAAAATGTTAGCTTACATGATCCCTTTGGATCTAGATTTAGTGTTTCTTACTTTTTCTACGATTTCGTGGGAACTTACGCTTCCTCATTTATTCCAAGTTATACCACAAACTTCGACCTATTTAGATTGTGACTGATCGGTGACTTCTCTTTATTGTGCTCCATTGAATTCATCCATTGGGTAAGATGTATACTCAATAAGTTGCATCATACTATTGTAATAGCAGAAGGCAACACACGGAAGCCAAGGTATATTTTTCACTGATCACACTGCTGTTTATACGTATACACTTCATATTCTTTAACCAATCACTGAGCATGTGATTTGAGTTTACACTAAACGACATGAAATAGAATGTTCAACTAGATATATCGTATTCTGTTGCTAATGCCGTATTGAACTGTGGGGATATGGGAGAATAATATTCCGTTGGAACGCATTGTCTGTATCACACCACCACACTATGATGTACTTCACTTCTCTTACTTCCTGAAATGGATAATGCTAAAGGAAGTTACAAACTAGGCGAGAGATTTATTGAAATTGGCCTTGTTTGTATCCATTTTACTTCTGTATGGTTGGTTTTCTAAAATGTTTATATCTGATTTTTACTCCATTGTTTTTAGGTTCCTGGATTATTGCCGTCTACTAATAAAATCAATTCTTTTGACCAGCAGCAGTCTGATTATTTAATGAATTCCAGATGCCAAAATTATAATTCCAATCTTTCCGTATCAACTTCAGACCGCACTTCTCTTCCAACTGTTTTCCGGCCACCTATTACTCCCTTCACACTAGAGTTAGAAGGTGAAGAAGATGGTGAGAATTTACCTCGACTAGGCACTTCACCAGGACCACAGATACCACCTAGTTCACCTACTGAATTTTTACCGTTTTATTCTGAAGCTGCTAATAAATCCGCTCAGGCTCAACTTAGACAGAAACAGTTAACAGAACTCACTCCACGTGTACACAATACACCAGACAGCGATGATCGTGGAACTAATTCGGATAATAGTTCGCCTTGTATAACGCTTGTAAACATGAGTCGACCGGATGCTCGAAATAATCCTCAAATGACATCTGCAGAATACGTAACAACACCAATGACCAATCCTGTGTCTCACTCTGATGAACTTTTGTCACCAAGCTTGTCAGATTCAAATGACCGTACACTCACTATCCTTGATAACTTAGGTGAAGTAAACACACCACCAATGCCAGATGGTCTGGCTGATGCACCGTCTCCAAGTGAGGCAATGAAAGAAAATTCATTAGTTCGAAAACGTGAGTTGTTGAATGCATAAATAGATTTTGTATTTATCTGTTGATTTAAATACAGTAGAGTAAAAAGTTCTAATTACCACCTGTTCTTGAATATTAATGTCTATATTAACCCACTATAAAGATTTCACTTATATTGAGATGAACGAAGTCACTCTTAGAAAACTGAATTCCATGCTGTTTCTTTTCATTTTTACGACATTTGAAGTCAGAATTAAAGTGACAAAGATTATGAATCTGTGAATGAATTAGCTTAGTACAAATGGATAGGAATATTGTTTCACTTTTACAAATTCTACAACAATGCCTTATTTTCGTGAAACTTCTGTATTCTAATTTGTTACTTTCGCTTGGGTTGACTGATTGATGATTGCATGAGATCCCTATAACAGTGACTTTAACCGTTCACGTCATCAAAGTTGAATCCTCAAGACATACAGATGACGCCTGTTGCACCGAAGTGGTGTGTGAACTCCACATTCCAACGACTGTAAAGTGGAAATTCCTTCTAACTGTGAAGCAAAGTAGTATCATGCTTTTTAGGCACACCTTTCTCTTCCAGGGAATTCAGATAGAAATTTTAAACCTCCTGTCCTTCTATGAACTTATACTTGGTAATTCTACTTCGCTTTACGTAGTTCGGTCTGTGAACTTGGCAAAGCGAGTGATGATGTATGTAAATATTTCTATACTTGAAATTGAAGTAGCAACTTTTTTTCAAATAAGAGGTTGCTTTAATTTATTCCCACATCAAAGGTTAATTTAGTTACTCCAGTTATGCCTATTTTCAGACGACAATTACCACTTTGCATTTTGGCACACAGTTTTAAATTTATAATATTTACAAATTTTTTCATAATTTCTATTCATATAGGTGAAGAATTGCAACACGAATTAAGCACACCCGGTCCTTCCGATCGTAGCAGATCGCCATCTTGTCCAAATAACGTGAGTTCACAAAACGCATTTTAAATTATATATATATATATATATGAAACTTTTTTGTATGTATGTGGATTGCCTTAGTAAACTGTGGTCTGAAGTCACCACACCTGATGGCATGTGATTCGCTCCCGCCGAATGCAAGATGATGTTACAGGATTGGACTACATCGACGCCTAGTTTAAAAATAGGAAGTGAAGTGGTAGAGCACGTTGACCGCTTCACTTATTTGGAAAGTACCATCAGCCAGCTCCAACGGGTTGATCTCTGACGAAATCTCAGCTGAGGACGGATACAGGGGGCTCGTTTCGCATTTTCCAGTTTACACTGACTTTGGCGTAGACGAGATGTTCGACTATCGACCAAAGGGCAGGTGTACTGCTCATCAGTCCGCTCCGTCCTCCTTTATGGTTGTGAGACCTGACCACTGAGAATGGAAGACATGAAAAGACTAGCTGTCTTTGATCATAGGTGCCTGCGTTCTATTTCCCGTGTAAAGTGGCATAATAAGGTGAGCAACATTGAGGTTAGGAGTAGAGTTCTAGGTAAACAGGGAAAATCAATCGACGAAGTCGTGAAGCTACGAAGACTGAGATGGTTAGGACATGTGTTACGTATGCCTAGTCATCGCCTTCCTCGACAAGCAATGTTAGCGGATATAGGGGCAGGCTGGAAGAAAGCTAGCGGCGGTCAAACAAAAACTTGGCACTAGTCAATGAAATCCACAACAGTTGGTCTAAGCCACGTAGGAAGGTGTAGACTTCCAGGCTGGAGTCCTCGGGACGGTAAAAATCTATGGTTGGAAACAATTGGTGACATGGCTCAAAATCGTTCTCAGTGGCGCAGATGCATCCACTCCTTGTGACTTATGATCTCCAATGAAACTACATTGTTCTTCGTTATTACTCCTTTATCTCACACCTCTGTTTACTGTCTCTATTATGCATTTCTTCTGCTTTCTTCTCTTGCTTTATGTGATACATGGTGTGGCGACTTGAACTTCCGCACATTTGTGCAAAGTTCTATGTCGAAAACAGACAGACAGACACCTGATGACATCCCTAATATGTTTGCTTTGATCATTCTCATCTCTAGTTGTAATTGACACGCAGATAACTTACATTCAACAGAGTACTAAGATGCTCACAAATACACTTCAATGAGTCCACTTATTGTACAACTCACGTTATCTTTAGTCGACTTGTCTATGAGGGAATTTAATTAGTAATTTGGCATAGTATCCCGAGAAAAATGTATCATGCAGCGATCCACTTTGATCTGATTTATTTTCCAAGACATGGTTACTCAAAAACTATGGTGTGAAAACTTCCGGTTATTTTCATCGTGTGTTTTTAAAGAGTGTTGCATGCTTGAATCTGGGATGGTGAAGACAGCCGTGGTAAAGCAAAACGCTTAGCCCCATTTAAGTACAGTAAGTCCGATTATAAGGTTTTCAACAGTTGTGTCCAGTTCATGTTTTATGCAAGTATGTATTTACGCAGGGCTGCTGAAGTTTAATTGAGTTGTAAGAAAGCTGGGATCAGTGAACTTGATGTATGGTAATCATTGAATGTTGGTCTAAATCACATGAACAATGGAAGACTGACTAACTAAAGTCTTCATGATATCAGTAAACTACAGTTGAAAAAGAATAGTGAAATTACTTGGAATGATTTGCAGTAGAGCAGATATACTGAGTTCTTCTCATCTTGATTCTAAAACTCCTCTAATCTTGAATTATTCACTTTTTCCTCGTATTTCTCTGTCTACAATATCTTCCTTATATATATATATATATATACTTGCGGTTCTAAGATGTATGGCAACTTCCACCCTACTTTTATTTGAGCAAAGTTCTGTGTCATTAAGCTATTTCAAGTACTCCAAATTTCTGACTCTCATGTGATACTTGAGGGTGTTTAGACTTCAGACAGACAATTTCGTCGGTCACTTCGGCAGAGTAATCAATTGTTGCAACCTAGATCGCGCTATTCAACCACCTTTAAGAAAATTCTTCTTTGTGGAGTGTGTGGTAGAGATACTTGAACTGATATTATACCCTTGGGTTCCGAGTGGAACATAGTACCTCAAAAACACATATCCACTTTGTTTTTTTTGCTGCAGTCCTCGTCAGCTGGGTCCACGACTGCCCATAATCACTCATCTCTTCACATGATCTCCTCCATGTCACCCTTGCACCGACGACCCACTCGTCGCTTCCCATTGGAATTCCACTCGAGCGGTTGTCTGCATTGCGCGCGATGTCGTTTAACAACCTCCTCAACGTTATACCCGATCCATCTCCACTTTCTTCAACATATTTGTTGAGCAATCGACCCTTGATTGGTTTTCCCACAGTTTCTTGTTACTAATTCTTTCCGACCTGCCGGTTGGCCATTTGATCTTCAGTATGGAACCAACCAGCGAATTGGGAAGCTGTTGATTAAAGTCTGCCACAGGCGGTTAGAAACGTTTTTCGTTACACGCTGGTCAGGTTCCTGACCCTTATAGAAGGACCGACTTCACATTTGTGTTGAAAATGCGAATCTTGTTACTTATGCTGAATGCAGAAGATTTTCAATCTGATTTCAGGTTGATAAAGAAGTATCTTCCCTTTCCGAATCTGACTTTGATTTCTTCATCCGTTCTACCTGAGGTGGAAATGATGCCTCCTAGATAAGGGAAGGAAGTAATCTCTGTTAAATCTCTCCTGTTGATGGTGATTAGTACTAGTTGTTGTTGGTTGGTTATCTTCATCACCTCCATTACTCTATGTTCACCTGCAGTCATGTTTTCTCTGCCAGCCCTTGCAAGCTATTTTGTTGGTTCCCACCTTCCTGCAAGTCTTCGTGTGTATGTGTGTGACATGAGACATAAATCATCTACACGCGAAATCCAGATCTCCTATAGTCTTAATTCCGTTATCGATCAATGCAGCGTATTCCTGTCTTCTCACTTCCATTGCACAACCTGATACATATTCTAGCCCACCACAATTAGGCATATCATCGTTGATAGCAGATAGGAAGCCAGCTTGTCTTACTCCTGCATCCGCTTGCCTTTCCTGAATCCAGCATGTTCCGGTTGGTAGGTCGGAGTTCTACACACAGTCCATCTTGTTTTCTCTCCAGGATGACGCGAATTAGTATTTTACTTCGCGTGGATGAGAACGTGATTCCACACCAATCGTTGTTTGATTTGTTTCTCCTCATTAGTAATTAAGTGCCCTTGAGCACCTCTTATTGGTCCAACCATCTGGGTTGATCACCTTCCGGATACGGATTGACCTGGTTATCACCTGCCTGAGGTTTGCCTGTTCTGCTTCACTTGCCACCAGCCAGTGTCGTAGAATTGTCTTTTGTCTTTCCTACCACTCTTCTTCACATCTCATTTCATTCAGTGCAGTGTCCATTCAACTCAGCTTCTTCTCTTGTTCATCTCTCCATCGAGTCGTCTTCTCCCCTCGCCTCTCCTCTCCTCGATTAGCTTCCATGTAGGTGTCCGTTGAGAGCCATTCCTTTTATTGTCTTCCCTCTACTTTCTTCCTAGAACAGTTGTACACACCTACTTGAACATCACCTGCAGACAGTCAGTTCCAATGTTCTTCCACACAGGTTTCCACACTGATACCACGTAGTGTCTCTGATTTTGCTCTGATCTGATGTGTAGTGAAGGCTAGGGCCCTTTGTAGTTTCGAACTTCAGTTTCTGAATTTCGGACGTGAATAACAGTGGCCTGTTTTCCGTCGTTCCGAAGCATTCTAGCTTCAACTAGAACTTGAACTAGGTGATAGCGTGCGCACACATCTGCTCCGTTCTCGACTTTGTGTCCAGCAGTCTGATTCGTAGTGTCTCTGTCAGAGGAAATCCATATCTCTTACCTTGTATATATCCTTGCAATTGTGCACGCCGCCTCGAATCACCGAATCAGTGGAAGCGCGGAAGTCTGCGAAAAGTTCTCCGTTCTCATTTATTTCGTCCAGCTACTGCCTGTTGACCCATGATGAGCTGTCTTCTTGTATTGCCTGCTCCCAGTTTGGTTGACATTCATATCGTGCATAAGCATTTAGATGTCACCGTAGCGGATGTTGTCCATTACTGTTCGTAGTCGTCCATAAAACTCGTTCTTCTTCTCTTGTTCCGTGTTGTTTGTAGGATTGTGCGTGGCACTGGATTATTATTGTCCTTCCTTACAAGTTGAATCTTGCTGTCATTATCCTACATGTGAAGATTGGTTCCCACTGCATTAGGGCTCTGGCTGACACCGGTGACATCATGGTGACCACTCACTGCCCGATTGTGTTCGTGTTTGTCGTTTGGTTGATCAGACCGCTGTAGATTACTGACTTGCCAGTTGACAATTATGGTAGTCCACATCCATTCCATCTGCTCTCTCAGATACCTAACAGTTCTGTCTATGAAATATCGTCACATTCCGGTGGGTACCTTGGAAGCCTTCCCAGGCTCGAACATTCCACGTCCCCATTCTTATTCTTACTTTTACCGAAAGAAGACACATCAGCTCGCTGACTGGCTTCTTGAAGGCTTTCACCAGCCCGCTGTCATCTCGCTTCTCCAGTTGGAGCGGAGAATAAGATTGTTGTTACTTGAGGCTCTTGTATTTTGAATATGTTTTCTGTGTGTTGTAGTTTCTCTGGCAGTTTGATAGGTTTAGTAGTGTGATGTTGTTAGCCTCACGCCCATCCCAGGGACTAGTGATCGGCTAGTTAACTAGGCTAGGTTAAACCGATGAAAGCTTCGTAACTAAACAGTCCTCGCTTAGTGTCCGATAATACCAAAAAGTGAGACACCAGCTGATTCATATGATATAGATGATTAATTATGTCCTCCAGAAGTTATACCTTAATTGTTTTGTTGTTGCTGTAAGTGTGCTGCCTTGTGTTTCATTTTTTTGTCTAAATATCCATGCTTAGTGATTTAGTCGTAATAATAATAAAATACCCTAGGTTTCTATACCCCCTCAAGTTAGACTTATCTGAATTTGTATTACCTTCCTCTTATGTCTTTTTTCTGTATTTCTTTTAATAATTCTATGACTTTGTTTTGACATTCACTGTTTCAATAAGTGATACCTTCAAAAGTTTCTGATTCTACCGATTTAAGCTTAGGTTGTTTCGTACTTTTAATTTGGATTATATTCGTCACTCAGTAATTTGTTTACACAGACTTGGTTCTCGCTACACATTTTAAAAAATAAACCAACACGTGACGACATCTGTGGCTAATTATAGTTGCCAAAATTATTTTTTTTATTTCTAGAACAGTTCGTGGCATTTAATGCATAAAGTAAACATACACAGCACCCGTGCACCAAATTACGCCCTTTTCAAACGACTAGTATTTAGCGCCCCAGAACTGGGTTGGAGTAACTTTCAGATGGCTAGACTGGATCGTAACGTATATAATTGTCGGTCTGAGTCATTTCGGAAGTTGTTGATTGTCTAAAATTGAAGGTTGCTTCAAAGTCAGTTGTTAGAGATTCTGGGTTAACAACACTCAAGATATCTACACCCTTTATTATCTCCAAAAATCCGTATACATCCTTGTATAATTCTATCTCACCTTAATATTGTTCACGGCGATTTCATCTGGGTTTCCGTGCATTCTCGTTTTCCTTCTAAAAGTCGTCTGATTATATGGCATATAGCTTTTCTGAAGTGGCACCACTTCTATCCAGTGGGTATTAATTCGTTTCAACGAATAGGCTAAAATATGCCAGCACGATATATCATGGAAATCCAAAAATATACGTTTAAGCTTTGAAATAACTGCACCCATTAATCCATTACATCACTCAGATATCAGCGTCAAGCTCCATTTTTCGATAATAATGCAGTTCAAGCGTATGATATCACTGGTAATATGTAAACCAAGAAGGAATTTCTTAATGCAAATTTCCATTTGGAAAGCATATGGAAAATATAACCTGTCGCTTAACCACTACGAACATACAACTAGCGAGGATATGCAATAAAGCCACTCCTCAATGTGTCGAATAACTAGAAATAACTCATTTCCATTCAATATATTGTAGATTGCTTTTTTGTGTTACATAAGCAGTAAATTTACCCCTTTCATTACTGAATTGATTTTCAATTCACATACTCGAGTTTTTCAGTTTGAACTTATTTTTTTTAAATATTCTCACTAATTTCTTTCAAAATTTTATTAGTCAGGTTCAGTCCAGTGTTCAAATTCCGCAGATGTGAGTATCACAGCCTTCTAATTTCTATGCATGGCCCATTTGGTGAAGTATACTATCGTGCATTTATATAGTTTCGCATTGACGAGTTTTTGGGTAAATTGATTAACGGATATCCGTGCATTATTACTTATACATATACATATTTCTAGTCTGTGTTTATCTCTTTACAATAATTGGGTGCTATATATAATCAAAGAATACGCACGTTAAGACAATGTTGACTACATATTCCAGATTCAATCTTAATTTTGCTGAATACTATTCTTTCTACCTCTGAAAAATTTGGTACACATTCTTTTTTGTTTACCCAAAATGATAGACATATAGACTGCAAGTTTTACACACTTCCATCCTTCATTTTATTTTTTTACATACGCTTTTGATATAGAATTTTTCAAATGATAAATGACCCCTGTGTTTGTGTCGACTCTTGCGTTTTTATAAAATATTTTTTCACTTGGTTCATCATAACCACCAAAGAGCCTTTTTCATGGATGTACATGCATATGTGTATTCATATATATATATATATATATATATCATGAAGTGTAACTTCATCAGATTTTCATATTAACATTCTGCTTTGTTGTATTTCTTGACAATTACAACCCATGGAGAATAGATTGTGGTAATCGGGTTGTGACTTTATATAAGTTTTCGCGTATTTTTTGTTCCCGCATTATACCAAAGTTTTGTAGTTTCATGTTTGACTGAAAATTCTTGAATATAAGCATTTAAGTAAGAAAAAAACTTGTAAATTTCCTCTCTATTTTTTTTGGATTAAAATCGGATGACTATTCTGCTTTATCAGTGTGAAGACAAATATATACATATATTTTATCAAACTGTGTTAATTTTGTCTATCTCCAATACTTCGAGTCGTTTTTGTTTTAGTGCAATTTCATTGAATGACTTTCACCTTATGAAATAAATAAATAAACACACAGTCGGACATTGGCATTGTTGCTGTCAGTCAAGTACATAGATTCTTTTAGCGCATTTATGTTCAGTTTTCCGCTGAAGCATATCTTCCTTGTGTTTGCCGTGTTCCAGTGAAGAACAAGACTCTCAGTGGCAATAGCGGCTTTACGGTTTGACTCACTGATTAACATGCAGTTGTAATCATCTGATGACCTTAGGCAAGGGAAGTATGTAACGTACACTTTTGATACTTAACTCAACCCTCTGTGATGACATTTACCCTGACCCAAGTGCTTGATATTTTTAGTTATATATATTGTTGGGTGATACTTTTGTGTCCCGGCCTTTTTGTAGCGTGTAGTTTATTCATAGACTGGAGCATTATCATTCTGATTACTTTCTGAATATGTACAACCTCCAGCTCCAAAAATGCGTTTCTACCACGGAAATTATGCCAATATACATCTGTCCCTTTATTCTACGATGGTAGGTATACGATATATGTCCATAACTCCATATGATCATTGTTCGGATAGGAGGCTGTTAGCATTTTGAAAAGAAACTGCGGGTGTTCCTTGTATAATAGGATGGGCTGCGAAACAGTCTGTCCTGTTGCAAAGCTTTACTACTCCAATACTCTCAACTTTTCTCCTCGTGTCTTTCTTTTCTGGAACCATGTAATTGTTATCAGTGAATCCTTGTGGATTATAGAGCAGCCTAATCCCCGAAGACCAGGTATACTTTCACAAGAGAAGGAACAGGCATCCGTCGAGTTTTGTGTGGAGCAAACTTCACTCGCTGACAGTTCTATGGCTTACGGGATCTGAAGCTCTCAATATGATATCTTATGTCCTCACATCACAGACGATGGATGAATGGACTCAGGAAAGCCGTTTGATTATGACTTATATGCTAACTGTGTCATCTAATTTTTATTGTGATCCTATCTGCTGTAACTAGCTCTTACCTTGCGAAAGGGAGCTTCAAGTGTGCTGATACTTGCCACAAGAATAATTGTACAGATAGGAAGCAATTACGTCCCTGTGTCGATGAACAGTAGCGGATCCTCTAAACATGGTCAAGATTGTAGTCATTAGTAAAAGGAGAGATATTGTCAGCAGGCCTACCTGGAAGTATTATCATGTTCAGATTGAACCTGTAGGGGTGAAGACAATTTTCGCGAGCAAATCAGCGCCTGGGGTGCGGATCTCCGTCTGGTCAGAACTAAACTTGACTCATATTAGCATTAATCCATGGTTGGTTCCTGAATCTGATGAGGAAATCATTATAATGGTCCTTCCAGTATTGCTGGGAAGATTTGAATCAGCGAATTTCGTTAGTAAATCGTTTTGCCTCATCAGGGTGTTGCGACCGCTCAAAAGTCTCTGATTTATTGAGAAGAGCATTCGGCAAACCACATGACAATCAAAATAAGTGATTCAGCAAAGAGACTTTTCAACGAATTTATTATCAAGCTGTACACTCGCATATATATGGTTTATAAGAAGTTTCTCGACCCACCTCTGACACCTCACCTGTCGGAAATACCGCGTTTCAAAAAAACGCCAAAAGTACTAGCGAAACCATAGGTTCAGCTCTTGAAATTTGTCTTTAATCCATTACATTGTGCAGATATCAGCATGAAGAGACAATTTCCGATTAAAATGAAGCAGATGTATGGCAGTTGAAGTGGATGAGCTGCCAATTTAATGAAGGCCTGAAAGCAAATTAAATGCAAACATTTCATTTAAGAAGCATGTGGGAAGTATAAATCCTCACTAAGCCAACAGAGCAACGGAATATGACGCCATAATTAGCAGGCAGTCGCTCCTCAAAGTGGACTGATGAATCTCTAGATTCCGGTTTAGGTTAGAGGGTGGTACGTCCTCTTGCTTCCATGTGAATTAAACCTTTTCTGTTTTGAAGGTTGTATTTCAGGACCAGTCGCAGGTGTTGTGAGATTGAGGAGTCCTTTGCAGTGATGAGCCCAGCGTCTTCTTCGTTTCGACTGTTTTGTAAACAGGTTATCTACACTATTTTCACTGACTGCATCTATGTTGATCTCCTCCAGCATAACAGTCAGGTGGTTATTTGTTATAAAATTGTCAGCGGCCTATTCTGTTTCAGTTTCCAATGTGTCGTGAAGGCATATTTTGTCTTTCCCACCACTCTACTTCACTCCTTTGTTCCATGATCCATAGGTTGGTTCTACTCATCATTTTTGTGGTTCGACCCTACACTAGTTCATATCCTTCCACACCATTATTCTCTCAATTTTCAGCTTCCGGGTGTTCATGGAGCGCCATTCCTTGTCTTGCCTCTTTCGACCTAAGACGTCTGTGCAGATTCCCTCCAGTGAGACCCACACAGGTTTTGCGGGCATCACTTAGTGTCTCCGACATTGTTCTGATGACCGAAGTAAGTATGTCCCTTGTAACTTTATGATGTTTCGGATGGTGACAATACATATATATAGCTCTCTGTGTTGTAAGTGGAACAACTAGAATCGTTCGAATTAGTTTGAAGTGTGAACCCGTATACAGGCGGTTGTTTTCGAATTGTGAGAACATGAAAACAGGTGATACATATCTGCTAGAGGCCATGATGTATGTTTCACTTCAGCTTAGGAACTTCAGTATCCTAAAAGACGAAGTAAGAATTGCAACTCACAGGTAGCAGCCAAGAGTAGCGATACAGGACGACCATATTTCGGGCGGACATTTGGATTGGGGTTGAAAATCAGTCTAAATGCACAATAACGGAGATTGTAGGAGAAGTAGACTGCCTGCCTGAAAACCTTTTCGTGAAAAATCCAATAGCCGCACAATGACAGGGTAAAAGTCTGTGAACTGAACTTAACTCACTCAAGGACACTTGCATTAATAGATTTTACTATTTCTCAATTAATCGTCCCATGTCTGAAATTTCAGTGATAGACGAGATTCTTGTACGTCTTAGACACACCCCAGCTCGTCACTATAGTTTTTATTGTTGAATGCTGTATTTGAATGGATTCGTCGCGATCGGTGTTCCTCTCACCAATGGAATCAACAAAATTTGCAGAATGACTTGAGGTTGCTATTACATCTGGAAGACGGTAATCGGCTGCAACCTTTCCATCCATTCTTGTAAATATGTGACCAGAGTATCATAAACGTTCATTTAGCTGAACCTAGCCTAGTTAATCAGCTTGCTGGTTTTCTAGCTAGTCACAAGTAAAGAGGGAGGGGTGGGCGTGAGGCTAACTACCCCACACCACTAAACCCGTCAAACTGCTACAGAAACTTCAACGCACAAAATGCACATTTAAAATACAAAAACTTCAAATAGCAATCTTATTCTTCGCTCTAACTGGAAAAACGAGACGACAGCAGGCTAATGAAAGCCTTCAGGAAGCTAGTCGGCAAGCCGACGTGTCTTCTTTCGGTGAAAGCGAGAATAAGAATGGCGAAGTGGAATGTCCGTACAATGTGCGAGACTGGGAAGGCTTCCAAGGTACCCACCGGAATGTGACGATATTTCATAGACAGAACTGTTAGGTATCTGAGAGAGCAGATGGAATGGATATGGACTACCATAATTGTCAACTGGCAAGTCAGTAATCTACAGCGGTCTGATCAACCAAACGACAAACACGAACACAATCGGGCAGTGAGTGGTCACCATGATGTCACCGGTGTCAGCCAGAGCCCTAATGCAGTGGGAACCAATCTTCACATGTAGGATAATGACAGCAAGATTCAACTTGTAAGGAAGGACAATAATAATCCAGTGCCACGCACAATCCTACAAACAACACGGAACAAGAGAAGAAGAACGAGTTTTATGGACGACTACGAACAGTAATGGACAACATCCGCTACGGTGACATCTAAATGCTTATGCACGATATGAATGTCAACCAAACTGGGAGCAGGCAATACAAGAAGACAGCTCATCATGGGTCAACAGGCAGTAGCTGGACGAAATAAATGAGAACGGAGAACTTTTCGCAGACTTCCGCGCTTCCACTGATTCGGTGATTCGAGGCGGCGTGCACAATTGCAAGGATATATACAAGGTAAGAGATATGGATTTCCTCTGACAGAGACACTACGAATCAGACTGCTGGACACAAAGTCGAGAACGGAGCAGATGTGTGCGCACGCTATCACCTAGTTCAAGTTCTAGTTGAAGCTAGAATGCTTCGGAACGACGGAAAACAGGCCACTGTTATTCACGTCCGAAATTCAGAAACTGAAGTTCGAAACTACAAAGGGCCCTAGCCTTCACTACACATCAGATCAGAGCAAAATCAGAGACACTACGTGGTATCAGTGTGGAAACCTGTGTGGAAGAACATTGGAACTGACTGTCTGCAGGTGATGTTCAAGTAGGTGTGTACAACTGTTCTAGGAAGAAAGTAGAGGGAAGACAATAAAAGGAATGGCTCTCAACGGACACCTACATGGAAGCTAATCGAGGAGAGGAGAGGCGAGGGGAGAAGACGACTCGATGGAGAGATGAACAAGAGAAGAAGCTGAGTTGAATGGACACTGCACTGAGTGAAATGAGATGTGAAGAAGAGTGGTAGGAAAGACAAAAGACAATTCTACGACACTGGCTGGTGGCAAGTGAAGCAGAACAGGCAAACCTCAGGCAGGTGATAGAGATCTCATTATTTTATTTCTGATAACCAGGTCAATCCCTATCCGGAACGTGATCATTCTAGTTGGTTAGACCAATAAGAGGTGCTCAAGGGCACATAATCACTAAAGAGGAGAAACAAATCAAACAATGGCTCGCATGGAATCATGCTCTTTCTCACGCCAAGTACAATACTAATTCGCGTCATCCTGGAGAGAAAACAAGATGGACTGTGTGTAGAATTCCGATCCACCAAACGGAAAGAACTGGATTCAGGAAAGGCAAGCCATGTGCTGGTCAAACTGCATTTCTACATGCATCATCATCCCTGAACAAAGCATAGAATGGCAGTCAAACCTCATTGTACCTCACCTTCATGTATTTTGAAAATGCTGTCTATAGCGCAGAGTTGACCACGAAGTAATTTGGAATCTACTTAAAGGTAGGGCGCACCTAAAGCCGCACCTCAGCCTCATTCAACATCTATATGACAATGGCACGTGTCAGGTGACCAACAATGGAAAGCTCAGTGAAGCCTTCTGTTGAGGTGAATGCAGGAGAAAGAGAAGCTGGCTTCCTATCTGCTATCATCGATGATATGTCTAATTGTGGTGGGCTAGAATATGCATCAGGTTGTGCAATGAAAGTGAGAAGACAGGAATACGCTGCATTGATCGATAACGGAATTAAGACTATAGGAGATCTGGATTTCGCGTGTAGATGATTTATGTCTCATGTCACACACATACACACGAAGACTTGCAGGAAGGTGGGAACCAACAAAATGGCTCGGATGGGCTGGTAGAGAAAACAGGACTGCATGTGAACACAGAGAAGACGGAGGTGATGAAGATAACCGACCATCAACAACAACAAAAAACAGCACCAGTCACCATCAACGGGAGGGATTTATCAGAGTTAACCCCCTTCATTTATCTGCTCAGGAAGCACGGTTTCAACCACCAACATTTCGAACCGATGAAGATGTCAATGTCAGAATCAGAAAGGCAAGTTACGCCTTCATCAACATGAAACCATTGTGAAAATCTTCTGCACTCAACCAGCATCAATAACAAGATTCTCATTTTCAAAACACATATGGAGTCAATCAGTCAGTTCTTCCATATGGGTCAGTAACTTGCACAGCCAGTCACCAAAAAGATTTCCAACCGACTGTTGCAGACTTAAATCAACAGCTTCCCACTTCCCTGGCCGGCTCCACACTGAAGTACAGATGGTTAAAAAGAATCAGTGACAAGAAACTCTGGCTGGGAACAAACCAACCAACACACTTCTTAGAAAGTGTAGATCATTCGGGCTTTCATCGAGGAGGCCATCGAATGATATAGGATGCTAGGCCCTCGAGAGGGATTCAAGTGACGACTTGGTAATCTTGGGGTGACATGGAGTAGGTCGTGTGAGGAAGAGATGGGCGAGTTTGGGCAATTTCGGACTCAGCCGAAGAGGATGGCGGAAAATATGACATAGTGAAGACGCGCTTCTGAAGCCCTGTGTTCCACTCGGAGCCATAGGTACAGAAATAATAAACAGTTACATTTGCACTGTGATCGATGTATTATTCTACACATCCCCTCCACAAATTGGTATGATATGCATACATGTACCATATATATAATATAATCCTAGTCACTATTTCTGAGTAGCGGGCTCTGATATACGAGTGTCATTTTTACGTTGTGTAGTAACTTCTGCTTTTGTTGTTGAAGGCAGATCAGAAGATTTTCAGTTCAATTTTTTTCTATTTCCACCTTAAATCAAATTCATGTAATGTAAATAATACTTATCCATGCCTGTACAACTGGTGTGTCTTACATAGATAGGAATAAATAAATATATATACATATAGACTGTGAATCAAATTGTCAGACACAACACACATTCAACTCACAGAAATTTTTCAAATGTCTCTGACCCAACCCAGGCTACCCAGGGACTGAAAGGATGAGCTAATAAGCCCCAACTTCACAAAGGGGAATAGGCAGTTGGTATGTGACTACCGGCCAGTAAGTCTGGAATACATTATATCAAAGCTATTGGAAACTATTAACGGGGATTTTCCATTAGCTCACGTTGAAAAACATGGCTTCCTGGAGATGGAACAGCATGGATTGAGGCAGGGACGATCATGCCTGACACACCTAATATTGGCTAGGGAAGATCGAGTTAAAGACAGAGATAAAAAACCTTCTGTTGGACGTGGTTTTTATCGACTTTAGCAAGGCATTCGATAAAGTATCCCACTTAGGTCTCCCTAGCAAACTTACAGGTTTCGGCCTAGACTAATGCCTATATGAGTGCCTAGGGGATAGAAGGTTAGAGTTAACGGTATAGTATCAGGGTGGAAGGCAGTATCTAGTGGAGTGCCTCAGGGAACTGTATTAGGCCCCTTGCTATTCCTATTATACGTTAATGAACTTACCCGAACTTGATTATTATTTGCAGATGACATCAAGATCTAGAAAACTGTAAATAATACAGAGGATAGTTCGGCCGTACAAACCGATCTAGATAAATTAGCTGAGTGGTCGAACCTGCGGAGTTTGAGATTAATTCTGGGAAACGCGCGGTAATGCACTTAGGTCAGAAGTCTTAAGCGTTGAACTCCCTGGGGGACACAGAACTATCTGATGTTAGCGGACAGAAGGACCTAGGAATCATTGTCAGCAATGATTTTAAAATAACTGCAAATTGCAATGCAGCCGGAGCTAAGGCTTTTCGAATGCTATCGGCACTCCGAAGAAAATTCAAACGATTAGATGAGTCTATGTTTAAAGTGCTCTACGCAGTTTACATAAAGCCTTATCTATAAAACCCCCATACAAGCAGTAACTCCATGCTTCCAGAACGGGCAACATGTCTTAGAAAGACTGCAGAGGGTAGGAACCAAATTAGTCAGTGGCATCTAACACCTCCCTCATGACAAAAGAATGGAGCATTCAAATGTCTTGCCATTATCATACCGAAGGAAGAGAGGCGACTTAATTTTAGCACACCGTATACTTAAGGGTGATTATGGAACTTACATTTCTAACCTTTTCTCTCCTACTATGATACATTAACGGGGTAACCGCAAAAAGGTGTTCAACCTGAGGACGATTAAAATACGTGCAGAATTTCGTTCCTCTCCCAGAATTGTCAACAACTGGAACTCCTTACCTGATTCCGTGATATCAGCTTCATTGGTTAACGCTTTCGAAGAGATGCAAGCTTTCTGCAGAGATATATTTTGCAAGCATTAACACAGGCCACAAGAGCCTCCTATCCTTATCATCTTGCTGGTCGTCTCATATTCTTATAGTTTCTAAGAAAGTTTTCCGTCTGACTTATTACATAAAGAAGTTGAGACACTCAGGTATAACTCAATCTCTTATCATACAATTTATTAATTCATGTGTTTTGCCCATCATTCTTTATTGTTCTCCATTATTCTTCCCTGGGCTACTCAAGAAAGATCATATAATACTACGAAGAACATTGAGGGCTGTAAGTAGGGTCAGTGCTATCCCTTTGACTGAACTAAATGACACTGTTGTCAATAGGCATATGAATTCTTGTAAACACTTAGCTAAAGTTATCTTATCTGATAGTGAACATCCTCTTTATTCACAATTGTTTCCTTGTATCTCTTCGGGTAAGACCAGAAGAAATTTTATAAACATTTATGCTCGTACTACAAAATATAAAAATTCGACCGTTCCATATTTGGCACGAGTATTGTGTGAAGAGACAAATATCAGAAAAGAACTTTTACAACTTTTGAATCAGTAACTAAACTATAAAATGTAATGATGCATATTAATGCAAGTGTTATTTGTTATATTATTTATTTATTATTCACTATGACCTAGAAATGGTATGATTTTGTTGGGTTTTTTATTTTTATTTATTTTTTTATTATTTTTTCCTATTAACTATCAATATTTTAACATTTTATATATTTATATAATTATAAACAGAGCTAAACCATTGCAATATGTAAAAGAAACGCTGAAAATTCCATGCTGTAAATTGTTATTGTTGTGGAATAAAGTGATTATTATTATTATTATGAATATGACTTGTTCAGGGTCGCCTTTTGGTAGCCATTAGTAGCCTAATTTAAGTCGCCTTCATATACCAAATGAAAACAAAGTATTAGCAGCAACAGAGCGAGAAACGACGTAAGAATAGCACTCTGTTACAACAACAAGTCGCAGTAGCATCACATGAAAATTGAAATGCCCTTGGAAAATATCATCCAATCAGAGAGAGACTGGTGTGCACTCAGTCATCAGCGCTGTTTACAATAATTTTCTCTACAGTATAGGATAAATGGCTTGGAATGGGGCGTCTCTTCGCAATTTTGATGCATTCGCCAAACCACTAAAGGACTTCCGTATAAAAACTCTTTCGGGTGCATTAGGTATGAAGTGCGCTCATCACTGTTATACCTTTCACTTGAACTTTTAGTCTCAATATTGAGTACTTTTATTATTGGAATTTTGTTTACATCAGAACTCCTTTCATTCTTACACCCTCAGAGTAAACAAGAGATAATAGTCGATGTTAACCGAGGAGAAAAAATGTTTATTTACCTCGATGTAACTCTGAACTACATCCCATGTACATGTAAGTTACAACTCTATTCTTCTCTGTATTCAAAACGCAGTCCTCAGATTAGACACAATGGATACATCAGGTGCACAACAATTAAATGTGATGCATGAGATCTACAAAACGAGTGTTTCAGTCGATGGTACTCCTCTATCGGACAGCGTTCGTCATAGTAAGCATGTATAATGTCCTAAATCATTGATGATTATAGCTGTCAATGATCCTTCTGCTATGACAACAACAAAAGACCCCAACTATTGTGGCTCTTGTTACGGGGCAAAGTCTCCCACAAGAAAGTAAGTCACCAGAAAGTTAGTATGAAACATATTTCTCTTGTCCATAGATAGGAATAGGCTTTTCTATTTTGCGGAGCCTCAATATTGCCTTTTTCCTGCTAGTCATAAGGTGTATCTTTTTCGTTCCACCACTGTTTGCTTGTTACAGCAGCCAACGACGAACTCACAAAAATGTCTATTAGTACTGAGTATCTCGGAGAACTCACGGCGAAACGCTTTCTCCAAAAATATACAACAGAAACTAACGGATTACCAAGTGTCTTTACCCTTCACTCCCGAAATATTTATATAGAGAATGTATTCTGTATATTGCCCTCTAAAATACTGGTTCAAATGTTGAAAGACACTCTAAACTAACCAAACATTAAACTGATTATTAAAGAAAGGTTGGAGCAATTGTGGGTGGTATTACAACCTGTTACAAACAAACACTGATTATTAGTATAACGTGTTAGAAGTATTATTTTAGTTCCATTTCCATGCACGCTGCCTGCAATAACGTCCACTGTTTGTGTTATAAGACTCACCACAATGGTTAGTGTTATTTTAAATCCTGAGTGAGCTTTTTGAATATATGCACATACAAATACAAATCATAACGTTTCTCAACACTTCCTTTGTTATTTCCTCAAATTTTTGCGTTAAAGATAAAGGCTCAAAGCCATAATCCCCCTGCTGATTAAATAAAGTGTGAATAATGGGCAAATTATTTACAAAATGCATATCAGTCTTCAACAACAATGCCCACTAACATCGTTCGCAAAGTGTTGTGAAATTGAAAGAAAAGGTTTCAATTGAGACCTGAGTAATAAGGATAAAAAGCCATTAAAAAAAGTGAATTGATAAATATCATTTAGCTTGTGTTCAGCCTCTTTATTATCACTGTTAACTGGTGCATAGAACTTAAAGCATCCCAAAATTTATTTTGTAGTATGTAGGTAGTAATCTCCATTCCTTTAGAATACTACTTGAAATCCGTCTCTATCTCAGTATTATCATAAACCATCACATTTGATTTAGCACACAATACTAAATGAAGGAACTAACAGACTTAACAGTACTAGTATGGTAGTATGTTACTATTAAATAATTATGGATATTATGAATTGCTATTGTAAGAGGTACTGATTTCCGATACCTCAATGTTATAAAAAATCATTTTTGTTCCTTCACAGTGAGTGTAGATGAAAAATGAAGGACATGGTATTTAAAATAAACTGTTCAAATCTATATATTTCCGCACACAAGTTAGGTCCGCCTAACGAAACAAAACCCCATTGAAAGACAAAAGGCATTGTTACCATAAGACCAAAGATTATCATTTTGTGGTCCATCCTGCAACACAATCTGTGGCTTAAGTAGAAGACAAATGAGTTAATAAAACATCAACCACAGCTAAATAATCTAAACTTCGTCACACATCTCGAACGGGCAGTTATTAGATTAGTGGGTTAGTGTGATATATTAATATGGCTATTATCTTTACAAATGGTGGGGCTTCCATAATATGACCCATTCATTTCAGAAGATGGTTTCTAACTCACTAATCATTTCAGTAGTTACGCTTATCTTGCACACTAATGTGGTGTTTCTGTTAAACGCTCCTAACATTGCGAATACGATATTGAATAAATACTTCATGTTTTTGCATACCTACCTGTATCTAGCATACTATACAACGGAAGGGTGGTCCCAGACAGTTTTGCTTATTTAACACAGTGCCTAGTTCACAATGGAATATCTCATGTATCATAAGTGGTGTAACTGAGCATAAACCACACTTTCCTCTGTATGTGTCAATATTCTGAGCCATAGAACTGGTCGAGCTTGAGATGACTTCTCAGGATTTTGAAATGTCCAACGCGAAAAACCCCTTCACTCTCTATAGTCGAACAAAGTGCTGATATAGACCAGTCATGAAGTAACAATTTAAAAGCATTGGGAAATACACTCCTATCTTAAGAATTTAAGTGCTGAGAAAACTTATATTTGCTTGGTAAAAACTGTTGTTTGTCTATCCTTATTTTGCTAGGTTATATGTTCCAAAGAAATCATTATCCATAAAGGTTGATACGAAAACAGAAACTTTGACAAGTATATTTATTATGAAAATTAGAAAGGTGGATAAACTCACTCATTATCACTGACGGCAAAACTCACTGGATATTTTAATGCACTCAGTGGTGTTTGAATATCATGTCTTCCTTAAAGAAATGTAATTAAGGCGTATCGATTTCGGTGATTCACAGTTAATGAAATATACAATAATTCATTTTGACGAAATAAATAAATTCATATAAGTAATCCAAGTGTCAAGTAGCGAAGTGCTTTCGTTATGTAAGAGACAAAAGTAATCATGGATTGAGATATATAGGAAGTGTTTTGTAGACCTCTTTGATTGAATAATTTACTAAATAAAACCACTCAGTCTTATTTTCTAACTACTGAGTCAGTGTTTTTATTCTAGTGAAATAAAAACATATCTGATTCCAATTCAGTCGCCAGTTCTATGCAATTCATTTTGTTACTCGTGTACATCATCAAATGTAATTATTTTTTTTAAGGTGCTGCAATACATGTGAAGAAGTCCAAATAGCATATCATGAAATGCAATGGGTATTTTCTAACGCTTCTGCATTTGAACAATGCCGAAATGAAAACTGGGAGGACATGAAACAAAAGATAGGCAGTGAAGGATGCAGGGTCCATGGTAGCCTAACGGTAAATAGAGTTGCGGGAGCTTTTCATATTGCTCCTGGCCATAGTTACACTGAAGATCATGCACATGTTCACAGTATTCAGAGTCTCGGACTTGTTCAAGTAAGTTTGAGTTTGTATTTTATCATAGTCGTCAGTATTATTCAAGTCGTTTTATCAGCTCATTTCTTACACTAACACAGGAACTGTGTGAATTGATTGCTTGCACTTATTCAATTGACTTGATACTCAACTCGACCTTGTGTATGTTACCATCAGTTTTAGAACATTGTTCCGTCACCTGCTGTTGAAAGTGCATTCCCACGTTTTCTATGTATGGTTTAGGATCTTTCTTTTGAGTTATTAGTAGACTGAGAATTAAAGTGCACACTTTTTTCTGTGTTAAATCCAAATCTTGAAAATTAGAGGTTTCTAACTCCAACTTACCGATCATTTCGATTACTACTCTAACACTGTACATTATTGTGTTCTTAATTAAATTTAAATAGCAAAAAATGACTAATAACTTCTCCCCGCTTCAAACAGCTTATAATTCCAAGGAGCATTAAAGCTAGCAGATAAATGAGTGGTAGTATTTAGCTGTTGAATATTATAGGATACTATTTAGTGGTTCAATAGTGTTGGCATATAGTGCTTCTGTTGATTTCCGTATCCTCAGCTGCCTTCCCGCATTTCAATGTCTTTATGACCTTCGAGATTTCTGTTTTAGTTGGAGGGTGTGCGTTCTCTTACTTGCATGTGACTTAAACCTTTACTGTGCAGTTGGTCGTATTTCAGGACCATTTGCAGGTGGTGGTGGATTCAAGAATCCATAGTGAGCCATTCTTTGTCTTGCCTCTTTCGACCTAAGACGGCTGTGCAGATTCCCTCCTGCGTCGCCTTCAGACAGACCCATGCAGGTTTCGCGGGCATCGCCTAATGTCTCCGACTTTGTTCTGATGACCAAAGTAAATGTGTCCCTTGTAGCTCTATTATCTTTCAGGTTTAGAGTGTCGGACTTGTATTGTGGTCTATCTTCAGCTTATACGAAGGCCTTCTTCCCAATCTGGTATCCAGTAGGCAATGCATCCACTTTCTTGAGATTGAGATGGAGTCTATCTGATCTTCGATGTAGCCTATGTGGTAGGATCCACCTAACTTTGTGTATATGATTGTTGTTGTATACGCGTCCTCCAATCACCAGATCTTTAGATGTGCTTAAGTCTTCGATGAATTTTCCTCTGTCATTTATTCCAACGAACGTCTCTCGACGCCTGGTGGGCTTCCTTTCTGTGTTGCCTACCCACAGCGGAATTTCGATGTCGCCATCTGAGTTCTTGTCTACCACTGCTTGCAGTTGTCTGCAGAAGTTTTCCTTCTCCGCTTGGTCTCCGAAGGTTGTGGGAGCGTAGCACTATGTAATTTCAACTTCCCCTCTTTTTGAACTGAATATCGTTGTCATTATCATGGTGGAGGTTGGTTCCTACTGAATAAGGGCTTTTGATGATATCGGTAACTTCATCTTAGCCAGAACCTAAGTGTACTCTTGGTTTCAGTTATCTGGATGACTGGAGTAGGTTACAAACTCTCCAGTTAAAAATTTGGAGAGTCTACATGCATTCCATATACTTTGAGATTCTTAACACTGTTATGTTCCATATCTTCTCATCTCTCAGACAGTCTGAGCGAGCCTTTCCAGCCTCAAACATTGTTCGGGGATTCCATGTCCGTGTGCTTACTTTACTTTTGGCGCTTTAAGTTTTGCTTAACGACTGGATTGTTTTTGGCTAGCCTCTTGCCCATCCTCACTTCTCATACTTCTTCTGGGTCAAGGGCCGGCTAGTAAACTGTGTTCCACTCTGAAGAGAGGGTATGAATAAGAATCATGATCTATACATTCATGAATGGTAGTTGAAATACACGCTTGCATATATCTGATGAGGGGAGAATTTCTTACTATTTCGATAGGGAAAAATGCTTCAAATTAGAATTTGAAGGATAAGTTATTAAATGTGGAGTCACTAAAGTGATGTTAAATTAGTAAATCAAAGTAGCATGGAGTCCGGTAATTGATACTCCTCAATATATATAGTTAACTGGATAGTAACCAATGCAACTATCAGTTGCACATGCTGATTGAAGTTTACTTGTCAAGCATAACATTTATTAATTGAAATAATGGCGTAGGACTGTGGATCATTCTTCCAAGTATTAAAGTTTCCCGTTGTTAGAAGTAGGACGAGAACGTCATGGGACTCTAAAGAAGTAATCAATGCTAAGTGCCGATTTTCTAAAGTTAATAATATTAGTGATAATCACACTAATATTAAGAATATCAATGAATTGATATTCGTTAACAGACGTGGTTTTAACGATAACAGAATTCTTATGGAAAATTAAACGCTTCGGGAATCAGTTTAGGTTGCAGTTGATAAAAGAATAACAACTTAAGCATTGTAATATGGTATAATTCCATAATTTAATTTATTTGATTCCTGTGCCTCCCGAGTGGAACATAAAGCTTCGAGCTTAAGTTTTGAAGGTTCATTAGTATTAGTGTTTATTTTTACAGGGTAAGGTTGCTAATCTCATGGTAAACCTTCTCTATTTACGGGGCTCATTGCCAGCTAAGTGAGGTTAAGGAGTGTGCCGACAGAGGATTGAATCTCGGTTCACATACTTAGCTGGTGTTTAGTCTATCACTGAACCATCAACGCACGATAATTCCCGAATAGAATAACTATTCCTCATGGGATACAGTTATCCTGTGTTATTTGCTTATTAATGGTGTTTTAGAACACGACTCATCATTCACTGTTACAAAAGCCGTGAAATGAGATATGTTGTACTGAGAACATCATTAGTAGGTAAGTAGAGTACCCTGTCAACATGTTCCATGCCGTAGATAATTATTTCATCACATAACTAGAGCGAAGTTTTATCAGGATGAAGTTATTGGTCGATACGCTAGGCGATAGGAATGTAAAAAAAGCAGAGTGGAAAATTTCAACTGCAAGTTCATGTATTAAGCCTACTCCAAGCAGCTGAAAGATAAAATTAATATCTCACCATTAATCATAATCATAACACACTAACTAATCCCTTATCTTTTGATTCAGTTTAACGTTTCACATTCGATTGGGTCTCTTCGTTTCGGTGACTCATATCCTGGTCAAATTAATCCACTAGACAATACGAAAACGACAATTGAGAAACGTAAGTAACGCATTTTTTAAAATTCGGTTTTTGTCTCCAATTTTTATGCATTTGTGACAGTGTTTATAGAAAACAAAGTCAATAAATTTAGGAATTTTTGAATTAAGTCATATAATAAGCTAATGAAATCCCGTTAGCTGAGGCACTTAGAGTCACTCACTGTGAATCTTCAGTGTTTTTCTGTTTACTATGCTTTTAAACTGTTGAGAGAACATAGCCGATGCATAAGCCAACACTTCATAATCTTGATTACTGAGCTAATCATAAAGCACATAGGCTGATGTTATTGAGCTTGTCTAAGTTTTATAAATAAAAACGATTAAGGTTATTCGATTAGTTGAGGTTGTGGGTGTATTAACCATGTATTCACCCTTCCTCATTTGTTGGAACACTGCATTATGATTCGCAGGCCAACAGTCATGTTTCTTGATATTAGGAGTACCTTCGATTCATTGGATAAAACTGTGCTCTAGAACTGTTTGGTAGAGGAGGGTGTACCTGAGTTTGTTAACATTCTGAAAGTCCTATAGAGAGTGAGGGCATACATGACCAGCTGTCATCACTGTTCCCAACCAACCGTGGAGTTGGACAGGGTTGCCCATTCTCCCCATTTCTCTTCAACTTTGCCATCGATGACATTCCGGAATCAGCTCTGAAGGACGTGCGTGGTGGTGGTGTAGATCTGCTACCTGGAAATAGACTTTTCGATCTCGAGGACACAGACGATATTGTCTTACTGTGCGATGGCATGCGGGCTGCCCAAATCGCCTTAAATCAGTTGGCTATCAGTGTCTGTAAGTATGGTATGTGCTTTGTGGTGTCTAAATGCAAAGTACTGTAATAGGATTTGCAGGAGCCTATGCCTGCACTCACTCTTGCAGGTGAAATGCTCGAAGTTGTTGATAAGTTCGTGTATCTGCGCAGTTGTGTGAGTGCTAACCTAGGTGTAACGGATGAGATTTCCAACCGTATAGTGAAATCTAGGGTGGCACACATCAACTTGAACCACCTCTGGCCACGTCGCGACGTTAGCCTGGCTGTCATCGCTGTCTCCATAGAATTGCTTGCGTTTGATGGTACAGTCGTGTAACTCTGAGGTCCGGCGGCATGTGCCTGGACACAGTGGAGATCGCCATTCAGTGAGTGTCGTCATCTAGAAACACAGGCCCCGGTGGCTTGAGCATGTGCTATGAGTGTCATCCTAGAGGCTTTCGTCTACTACAGTAGTCATCTAAAGAACTCTGCTTTGAACCCTTCTGCTACTCATTTTCATTTCGTCTCCAACCATCACCCATTACATCAGTTTTTGTCTGACTGCCTAAGGATCACTCAAAATGCCTGATTGATAACATTAACTACTTATGGTATGATTGTTAAACTATTCTGAACAATAAGTTATGGTCGAAATTTTATCTAGTAAATAATACCAAGTCACTTTGTGATACATCGAATGAGTGCACCCTACCATAGTGAACGTTGCACAACTGTTTCGTCCTATTCTGCAATGCATCAACGACCCCATCGAGGATCAAACGCAGGACTTTAGGTTATGACATCAATCCAGTGAACATCCAGTTGCCGAGACGGAATCCATTAACCCATGAATTTTAATTGTTGTTACTTAGCGATCTAAAGTTCCACCTCTAGCCAATTTCATCAGTGAGTATTTATCCGCACACCCGACCTGGTGGACACCACTGGTCACGAATTCTCACTAGAAACCCGGTCAACTTCCTTCTGTGGGCATTCAATTAATTTTCAAGTGTTGAATGGCTGCATTAGGGAGCCAGTTTTACTTCTCTAATCCATTTCCAGCTTCCGTTTTTAACTCCAAAACATTCCTGAAATACTTTACATTTAGCACTAATAAACCATTCCACTATTTGATTATTCAGAGCTAATAGCCTCCATCTTACATAACCAAAGTATGGGAATTCTCCGTATACCGACAACAAAATTACTTCAGGTTTTATGCAGGTGATAAAACCGACTAAATAATATCCGCCTCACTTTGTTATACTTGCTTTGTTCAAGTTCACCAAGGGGAAAATTGTATAAAATTCGATTAATTTATATTTTGTACGCGTTAGGATTTCTTACATGTATAAATAAAGCTCCGAAGTCATTGATAAACAAATCTGAGCTACTACTTATTACACAAAACCCCGTAAACGACCCAGTATGGCCGATGGTAAGTCGACTTCGGTCTTACTCTCAAAGTTCCCTCATTCGAGCACACATTCATAGCCACTACCAGGTAAGTCTTATGCATTCCCTGGACGCAAAAAGTGAAAGGGCGATTGTGAACGTCCGGTGCTTACAACCAAACTGTTACACTTACCGGCCTACCTACCATTACCCATTCTGTTTCACTCTTATACTTGTCAAACTCTATTAATTCTCTTCACTCATCTTCTTGTCTACCTCTGTGTTCTATTTGGAAGGTGGCAACTCGAACTGCTGCACTTCGGTGCCAAGTTCTATGTTGAATCCAGACAGACAGACTACCTAGGAGAGCTGAAAACCTTGATTCCATGCGTATGAGCTCCAGAATCCGAATGGATTATGGACCTGCCTTAGTCGCCAAAAACCATGGATCAGGTTGAAGGTCAAAGACTTTTGGGTGGCTCCTTAAGACAATCACTTGCTTCAGTCTGGGTAGTAAGTATCTCAGCCCTCGCAGAAACTATGAAATTTTGTGTGACACATCTTTTCTTGCCCATTATGTACCAAGCTTTTTTTATAACAGTAATGAAACTTGTTACAAGTCAAGAAATTATAATTTAATCATTTTTGATTGATAATGAATAGCTCTTTGTAAGAGCCTGACTTAATTGAATGCATTTTCTAAATTGATAAAATCCGGTCCCACTATCTTGCGGGTTAAAAATGTATTCCTCAGTTTCAGCGACTTTTTTAGGTGTATAGGTTTTGAAGTTATATGTATTTGGTATTTTAAACATAACGTCGGATTTCATCATGTCTTTTTTTACTATTACTGTTTTCTCTATTGTTATATTCACATGTATATAGATTCACAAATGATATCATATTACTTGAAATTGGTACCGACCATGTACAACAGTCTTAACAAGCGGGTATGTTATCCATAGTATATGTCTTTAATACTCATAAATAATATTTGATGAATTCGTTTCTCAGTTGAGAATTTTTTCTAGGCATTCCATTCACAGGCAGCTGACAATACAAGTTTTCATGCACACTTAACCACCACATAATTTACCACCCGGCCGAAAACTGCTACCTTGTCGTGGTGGTCGGGCTTGAACACCGCAATGTCCCAACAAGCTAAACTGGCTGGGACTCATGTCCCTGCAGGTCCTACCATGTCAGGAAAGTTGTTTGGATAGTGATTAGACTAAAAGCAGTTACCATGGGGTACATGGGCTCCAGAATCCAATGGGATCAAATGGCGTATGAACCCATATGGGTCACCGGAAACCATGGGAATGCAGCTCCTGACTCTGCTCCGCTGCCTTGCGGATTAGACTCCAAGTCAAAGGCTCGGGAGGTGGTTCTTTTAGGAAAAACACCTGCTTCGGTCTGGGCGCCCGGGCAGTATCTCAGCCCTCACACAACAAATGAAATTTAGTGTGGCGCATCTTTCTTGGTGTCATATTGTACCAAGTTTTTTCTGTGTTTAAATAATAATAAATAATACATAATTTAGCAAATATTATTAGCTTGAACAAGGTCAAGTTGTAAAGAAACAGTATTAGCGTGTGCTGAATAAATATGTATAAGTTAGATAGATAGCTTAGTCCAACCCGCTCATTGAATCATTCGTCAAACACTTCAATCATACGACAGAGGTTTTAAAAAAGATATATTTTGAGCTATGAGACAAACTCAACAATGCTACCTCGTTCTCTATACCATAGTGGTTGGAGTTGTATTTGAACTTGAGACATTTTGGTTAAAAGTGAATTGCTTAATCTAGCGATTCATACCATGCAAAATGATAATCTCTTCAATATCACCTAATCACTATAATTCTATTCTGCTAGTATTGGTTTTGTAGGGATTTTGTTTGATTGCATGGAGGATTTCATCATGAACTGACATCAGTTAGAGAACCACTGGAAAACTGGGGAGTACTGGACAGCTGTTTCGTCCTAGTTTAGGAATCTCCATCAGTACACACCTAAGGTACTAGTGAACAGTCCCAAACTAGGACGAAACAGCTGCCCAGTACTCCCCAGTTTTCCAGTGGTTCTCTAGCTGATGTCAACTCATGATGAAATCTTCCATGCAATCTATTCTGCTAGAATGAAAAAATTACCAGGCTATGAAAAGTGTGCATGTGTGTGTATTCTTCCCAGTTTGTGAATGATTTTTGTTTTCATTGTTGGTCATTCCTAACCATGTGATTTAGACTTTCTTCATTCTTTATTTACGCTATCTCTTTGTTTTTTTTATTTAGGATGGTACTTTGCTGACTAATCAATACTCTGCTACCTGGCATTCCAAAGGTACTCCCTTATCTGGAGATGGTCAAGGTCTACCTGGTGTATTTTTCAACTATGAAATCGCTCCACTACTCGTCAAGATTACTGAGGAACAAAAGTGAGTTTTCTTACTAGTTAGTGTACGATAATAGCTAGAAGAACTTACTGTTTATATATTATATATATATGAATCTAGGCAGATTGACATCATTTAATTCTGCATAATCTAACAGACAAACAAATTTGCATAGCTTCCGGTTAGTTATGTGACACATTATTCATACTTGTTATTTTCAGCTGTTCATTTGTAGGGATTTGATTTGTTACAAGTTTGGTCACAGATCGACATAAGTTACAGAATCATCACTAATTTGGTAGAAGTTAGAAGTCATGAGCCATTGAATCGAGTCTCAATGGCTGAAACGTCTACGAGATTGCTTTGCAGCCGGAAAGTCCTGGGTTCAAGCCTCTCTGGGTGCGTTCTTATGAAGAGTCCCAAAATAGGACGGAGGAAACAGCTGTCCAGTACTCCCTGGTTTCTAGTGATTCTCTAACTGATATGAATCTGTGATCAAACTTGAAATAAACCAAGTTTCTACAAATTAACCCTTGAAAATTAATCTGAGGCTTGCTAGTGACCGGCTACAGAACGAAGTTGCCTAGTGAGTTCTAGTGAAAACCCATGACTACTGAAGTCCACTCACAGACTCAGGGATTGACTTGCTACCAGGGAATAATCTCGTTGACTTAGAATATACAGACGATATAGTCCTTCTAGGCGAAGACGCTGACGAAATGCAGAGTCTTCTGAACACCTTGAGCTGCAGTCTACGAATGTTTGGAATGCGATTCGCTCCCGCCAAATGCAAGATGATGTTACAGGACTGGACTACATCGACGCCTAGTTTAAAAGTAGGAAGTGAAGTGGTAGAGCACGTTGACCGCTTCACTTATTTGGGAAGTACCATCAGCCAGCTCCAACGGGTTGATCTCTGACGAAATCTCAGCTGAAGACGGATACAGGGGCTCGTTTCGCATTTTCCAGTTTACGCCGACTCTGGCGTAGACGAGATGTTCGACTATCGACCAAAGGGCGGGTGTACTGCTCATCAGTCCGCTCCGTCCTCCTGTATGGTTGTGAGACCTGACCACTGAGAGTGGAAGACACGAAAAGACTAGCTGTGTTTGATCATAGGTGCCTGCGTTCTATTTCCCGTGTGAAGTGGCATAATAAGGTGAGCAACATGGAGGTTAGGCGTCGAGTTCTAGGTAAACAGGGGAAATCAATCGACGAGGCTGTGAAGTTACTGTTATGTACTCGTCGCTGAATTATTGTTATAGGCTGGTCGAGAAACTAATAGTCCTGACGCGAGAAGGCGGAAATCAGAAGACCACTAGGTTTGCGATGATACTTCTATTGTCCAAACACAAGGAGACGAAAAATAAATGGTCTCACACCAAAGTGGTAAGTAAGTAAAGTAGTTCACACAGAATGTGTGAACGAAATATATATATAACAAAATATATATAGCAGACATGTCAAACAACCATATATGGATATATGTCACTAAGCAACGGACTGTCAACAAACGCTCATATCATATAAAATATAATATAAGGAGAATACACATTAATAAAGGAGACAAGTTCACACAAGTGAAGTGGTCACAGACTAAGCGAGCAAACAGAAAGAGAGACCAACATACACACACACAAAAATATATATTGGAAATAGTTACATCGACTGAGATGGTTAGGACATGTGTTACGTATGCCTAGTCATCGCCTTCCTCGACGGACGGGCAATGTTAGCTGGCTGATATAGGGTCAGGCTGGAAAAGAGGTAGCGGCGGTCAAACCAAAACATGACACCAGTCCATGAAATCTACAACAGTTAGTCTAAGCCACGTAGGAAGGTGTAGACTTCCTGACTAGTTGGGGTCCTCGGGACGGTAAAAACCAATGGTTGGAAACAATTGGTGATATGGCTCAAAATCGTTCTCAATGGCTAACGCAGATGCATCCACTCCTTGTGACTTATGATTTCCAGTGAAACTACATTGTTTTTCGTTATTACTATTCCTTTGTTTCACACCTCTTTTTTACTGTCTCTAATATACATTTCTTCTACCTTCTTCTCTTGCTTTGTGTGCTACAAGGAGGGAGTGTGGCGACTTAAACTGCCGCACATATGTGCAAAGTTTTATGTCGTAAACAGACTGAAGCCCACCAGGTGACGTGTGAGGATAAATACTCGCCGATAACTATAGGCTGGTGGTCGCGCTAAAATCACGAATTGGTTGAACTTTAACATTTTGTCCAATGATAGTTGTCTTGTTACTGATTCGGCGGTTTGTGTGTACATATTGTTAACTGGATGTAACAAATAAGCAGTCGTTGTCTGTAAAAGCTGATGTAACACGTGTTTCTTTTTCGCTTATTCCGCTATTAGACAACCTTAATGTATAGAGAATTATGACAGCCTATGGTCTCTGTAGCCGAAATAAGTCAGTTGGAATTGGAACGTAAGACTTATGAACTGGAAGTCAATTGCTTAAGTCATTGAATCAAATTTTCATGCACTGCGTAATAATAACTCAATAAAAACCATTTATAAACCAACAAGTTGACTATATTGATATGAATTAATATTAATAATACGCATTGAAAATAACCTCGTTCACTATTCTTCCATTTAACTGCTTTCAATATTGCAATTCTTTGAAATCTAGATCACTTGTACACTTCCTCACAAATACTTGTGCAATCATTGGTGGAGTATTTACAGGTAAGTAATAATAGGTCTGTTTTTTTCTTGCATGCTTGTTTTGTTTTTGTTTCTTATGTTTAACACAATGATGTAGCTCATTAGTTTGAGTAATCATTTTTAAGCCTGTACGTCGCAGGCTCGAATCCCTTTCCACCTACTTCAGCAAGTACAGCTTAGTACTAAGTATTATTAGCCCTCATACGATAAGCATGATTCTTAATCTGGTAGCTGAAAAGTCTGTTCCAGGCAGTTGAATTCAAACGAAGCAAAACTACATAATGAGCCATCCTTATTGTGTAATTTTTTTTCTGAAGCTCAGTTACCCCCGAACAGATTCAGCATTTACCGAGTCTGAGAGCCAGACTTATCATAAGAGGACTGGTGCAGCAATCTTCGTATGTTTGGAATGCGATTCGCCCCTGTAAAATGTAAGATGCTGCTGCAAGACTGGACTACGTCAACTCCTAGCTTAGTGATAGAGAGTGAAGTGGTAGAACATGTTGACCACTTCACCTATTTGGGGAGTTGTATCAGCACCAACGGACTGTTTGGGGACGAAATCTCAGCACGGATCCAAAAAGCTCGAGCTGCTTTCGCTGACTTACACCATCTCTGGCGTGGGCGTGACATCTGGCTATCAACCAAGGGACGTTTGTACTGCTCAGCAGTTCGCTCCGTCCTTCTCTACGGCTCTGAAACATGGCCAGTACGATTTGAAGACATGAAAAGGTTGACTGTTTTTGATCATAGATGTCTGCGATCTCTTTCTCACGTTATGTGGTATAATAAGGTAAGTAATGTTGACGTTAGGCGTAGAGTCTTGGGCAAAGGGGGAAAATCAATCGACGAGGCTATAAAGTTACATAGATTGAGATGGCTAGGTCACGGGCTGTGCATGCCTAACCATCGCCTCCCCCGATGTTCATTACTAGCTGATATAGGTGCAGGTTGGACAAGAGTGAGTAGTGGCCAAACAAAACATGGCATCAATCCATGAAATCCTTGACAGTTAAACTGAGTAGGTCAGGTAGGGTGATGCAGACTTCCGGGTCGGGGCCCTTGGGACTCTAGGAATCAATGGATGGAGACAATAGGTAACATGGCTCAAAATCGTTGTCAATGGCCAGCGCAGATGTATTCAGTCTCTGTAATCTTTCATATTCCTTTCTACCATTACCCATTTTGTTTCACTCTTATACTTGTCAAACTCTATGGATTCTCTCCACTCATCTTCTTGTCTACCTCTGTGTACTATTTGGAAGGTGGCAACTCGAACTGCTGCACTTCGGTGCCAAGTTCTATGTTGAATCCGGACAGAGAGACAGATGATGACTGGTGATACTACACAGTTGCCCAGGCTGGAATAGGTGGAGCGGGACTTGGACCCATAACCTATCGGCTGAGAAACGAGTGCTTAAGCGTTTAAGCCACATCTCCATTTAATGTATAAATAGCTAATTATGCCATCAGTACAAGTATTGATTATTATTATTATTATTATATAAGCTTTATTCCAAATCAGTACTTGTGATACAGAATGGAATTCTCAGCATTTTACTACAATATTGCATCCAGTTTTTACATTAACAATAAATAAAGTTCTACATAGATTAAAGATTATCTCAACAACATATTAGTATGTCGGTAGCAAAGCCAAAATTAAAATGTTTGAAGGTGTTACAAAAGTAGATACTACTAGCATATTTACTGGCGTAAGCGATAGCAAAATGGTCGAGATATACAGAGTGTAAAAGAACAACAAGAAGGTTTTAACTAGAGTTTGCAAGGAAGAGAAAAACAAAACAGCACTTAACAAAAATAAAGACAAAAAAGGTAGAGAGAATGGAAAAGAGAGAAAACGTTGTACCCATAAATGATGTGAGTTGGAAAGACGAGATTCATTGGTTCTAGTGACTATTTAATAAGTTAAAGGTTTCATGCCTGATGCATTCTTTATCACACAGAACACGGGCTAGGTAGGGTATGGATGAGTTTTTGTACTTACTAGTGCGGGCATATAGTTTCCTATATAGACTTCTTGTTTTCCCTGAAGAGATACATGGGGAGAGTTGTGAGTGTAGAGGGTGTTGTGAGTCAGATAAAATGGACTTCGCCCATTTTTCACATGAGTCCATGTGCCTGTCCACCAGAATGTTAACAAGCTGGCTAAGTGGTAAACTGCTTACCCTGCTGACAACCTTTAACATCCTACGTAATAAGGTATAGTCTTTCTTCAATAGCCCAGGAAAGACTAAGGGGGAGCAATAGAGAATTATAGGCAGAATACGGGAGTTAACAAATTGTAGTAGTAAGGGTTGGGTTACACCAGAATGTCTTAACTTCTTGATGTAGAAGGTAAGACGGTATATTTTCTTGGAAATCGTCAAGATATGAGACGACCAGGAAAGATCAGAAGATAGAGTGACGCCTAGGTATTTAATTTCCGACTTAGTTTCTATTTCAGTGCCATCTATGTTGCACACCTCGTGAGCGCTAACCAGTTTGTTTAGGTCAGATTTATGCCTAAAGGTGAAATTAACTGTTTGGCATTTGGAGGGGTTTAAGGTTAGACCGTTTTCCTTGGACCATTGGCTAATTTCTGATAAGAAGCCATTTAGTTTAGAGCAGTCATTTTGACATTTGACAGGTAAAGATACAGTTAGGTCATCAGCATATTTGACAAAGTTAATATCATTTGAAGACGGTAGGTCATGAAGGAAGAATGAAAAGAGAAGTGGGGAGAGTACAGCACCTTGGGGGACACCAGATTCAGTGAGCACAGCAGAGGAGGATTGACCTTTGTATACGGTGTACTGCATTCTGTTTGAAAAGTAGGAATGCAACCACTTAGTGACCCAAGACTCGGTTTGTGTCGTGGATAGCTTATTTAGCAAGAGACTTCTAGGTACAAGTCGAAGTGATAAAGTGCAACCACCTCAAAATATGGTAACTGTTCAGCTGATAGACGAACCTCCAGTTCAATGAACTACAGGTGTCATGAGACGACTTAAGATAGTTATAGTCAATATGTGTGTTTGTCCTGAATTAAAGTAAATTCCATACTTTTATCTGCGTAAGATTATTCTCTTCTTATTCATTGATGTTAAGTGAAACGACTGTATGAGTATAATTCATTTCAAGTATTGGTTTGTAGGGATTTGGTTGATTGGTTACAGGATTTCATCATGAGCTGACAACAGTTAGAGAACCACTGGAAAACCTGGGAGTACTTGACAGCTGTTTCGCCAACCTAGTTTGGGACCCTTCAACAGTACACACCCACTGTGGTTCGGACCCAGGATCTTCTGGTTACAAGGCGAGCTCGTAGACCATTAGGCCACTGGGACTCGATCCAATGGCCCAATAATTCTAACTTTCGCCAATTTACGATATAGCGCAACCGCTAGCCAGTGTCTTCGGCGAGTATTTGTTCTCACACCCGACCTGCTGCACCCTACTGGTCACAACTTCTCACTAGAACCCTACAAACTAACACTTGAATAAAAATGAATAATTTTGGGTTTAAAATGACAAGTGGGTCAAGTGAAACAGATTCAGAGTAAGAATAGTAATAATAATAATGATAATATTAATAAAAATAATCGTAGTAATAAGGGAAAGGTACATAGAATAACTAAATAAACAAAATAAATAAACGTCTATCCCTCTACGACCAAGGCAGAAATTGGGATTGTACGTACTTATTTTGTATAGAAAGGTCTGTCTTAAATCCATGAATTGCCAAGACCTCAGCTGTCTTTAGAAGTCTGTAACGAAGAAAACGTGGGAAATTTGGTCAGGGTTGACCGAGTGACAGAAGTCGATCAGGTGTTCCAGAATAGAGCTCCGCACACACTTCCTTTCTCCCTTGTAGCCATGCAGCTGGAATATATTCTCGTATCCGTGTGGAAAGTGTCCTCTGACTACGGCCAATGTACCTTGCTCCACAAGAGCAGGTGAACTGATAGATGCACATGGAGGCGGCCAGACGGGGGAGCTTATCTTTTACACAGGTAGAGAACAATTCGCGGCTCGTGAACGTCATATGTAATTTAGCTGCAGGGAACGTCTTACTGACTGATTTGATAGACCATTTTTGAGCATATCTGTAGATTGATCATCTTTGAATTCCGAATTCATGAATAAGGTTTTCTTTGGAATTAAATTATTGAAACAATGCAGAGGTTATAACTGACAGGTTATTGAATTCTGTCTCTGGCTAAATGAGTAGTACTCAAAGAACTCACCTTGTAAACTGAAGGTCTTGAGTTCGATCGTTTTAATGGGGGGTCGTGGGCACACACACACTATCTAGTGTTTTCTGATTTTCAATAGTCCTCTAACTGAGGCTATCTCATGATCAAAACCAGTAACAAAAATATAATTTCCGCTGAGATGCATTCTGACTACGTATATCATTATTGAATTTTGTATTAAAAGGAAATTAATTTTAGCTGTCATAAGCAATTACCTTTTATAAACATGTCTTTATTATTATTATTATTATTATTATTATTATCCCGGACTAATATCTTTTATTTTTCTAATGATTTAGTGGCAAGTCTAGTGGATGCGTTCATTTATCAATCTTCATGTATGCTACGTAATCGTCGGAATAAACACTGAAATGCATCTGATGGCAAACACTCTAATCCATTTGTTCATTTCTACTTATTTCATAATATTTCACCTATGGCGTCGGTCTTTCACATACTACTCTAACATATATGTATATTGTAGGTTAAGATATATATTTTTTTGTTTCTTTTAATTTATATCTGTCTGACTACTTGGTTATTGTTAATACTGAAAAGAAAAATTCCTTAAGTTTTTCTCACTTGTATTTTTCTTTGTTGTGCTTTTAACCTCTAATTTCTTTAGTGAGTTACGAGAAAGAAAAAATATATATATATATAAACATCACTGAGATATACTGAGAAGTCGTCTTCTTGAAAACTCCTCACATATCAATAAATATTGATCGCAGTTGTGTTAGATTTCATCACGAACCAGATATCATTAAAAACTAAAGAGTACTGAGCAGTTGTTTCGTCCTGTTTTGGGTCCCATCATCAGTGCGTACCCAACACCGGATAGATATCCTTGAAACTGTAGTGAAAAGTTGTGACATATGGCGTCCACCACTTCGAGGTGAGGTGGATACTCATCGAAGGCAGTGATCGAGGGTAGCGCTATATATTATGAATTGAATTCCTGCCCAAGTTGCCGAATGGTGGTTAACAACGAGCTTGAAGGTAGGTCCTGGGCTCGTTCCCAGATGATGTCGTGGGTGCTCACTACTGCCAAGTCCCGAAATAGGACGAAACAGACCTAATACAAATTGAATAAAGCACGAACATTATATGAAGCAGGATATAAAAACGGATTCTTTATGTTTCGTCTGTATTTTGTCAAGGTTTTACAAACTCGCTAGCGAAAGTTTATTGTTTTACTACAATTTTAGTATACATTCGTTTATTAGACGAACAAATGTCGTGTGGTAATTAAGAATGGTCATAGTGCATAGACAAACCAAAGCGGTTAGGCTTATAAAATGATAATGAATTACTTAAGTTATTATGTGATTGTTATGATGTCTCTGAGTTTGATTACGAATGCCAATTTACGCTTGATAACTTCCTGATCGATGATTCCCCAACCCGAAATCTAGACGACATACACAATAGGACTGGGACGTGTATTTTCATCAAAGCAAGTGAGAGGAAAAGTGACCACTGAGAGTACAGAATTATGTGGCATATACTGATCCAGTCACAAGACTCGAATAGTAGGCGTTAACTACAACATGGTGGTGGATTCCGATTGGTTGATGCGATATTTGATTTACTTTCATTCGACTAACAGACTAGTGAGATATATCGTGGACATATATCAGACTGACAGACCAATGCAACAGATTGTGGGTGTATATTATTAGTGATGCAATCGAATTTTCTCGAAAAAAGAGATCTAATTGTAGCGACAAGTTATTGGAAGCATAAATTATTAGACAATTCTGAATAAAAAAAAATTAATATATGCAAAAAAGCCATTGTGTCAAGTTCATTTGATCAGACAATAAATAAACATATGTAGCATAGCGTTTAATACGAAATTAACATATACATCTCTTCAAGACATCAAAAATCCTGTGACGTGAATTAAGAGTGTATGAGTCATCAAAGAGATCTCTACTATTCGTAATCTCACTCCAAAACCTTACAGTTATTTAGGGGATTATGTGTGTATAGTGTCAATTACCAACTAAAGGTCAGAGGTTATTGTCAGTTAATCAGAGTGTATTAGAAATAACAGTGTGTGAAAAAAATAGTGAGCAGTCTTACGTAATCGAGAATGCTAACAACTATTCAATTAAGTGGTGAGTAGTTATTTGAGGACAACCAATGGGAAAGAAGGGCACAAGGAAATGAAAGTGGGTCACGGAAAAATAAAGAATGAATACACTAAGTTTCTTGCTTGAAGAATAGAGAAAATGAAAGAGAGTGTTATTCAAGTGTTGGTTTGTAGGGATTTGATTGATTTCAGGATTTCATCATGAGCTGACATTAGTTAGAGAACCATTGGAAAACCTGGGAGTACTGGACAGCTGTTTCGTCCTAGTTTGGGACTCTTCAGCAGTACGCACCCACCGGGATTCGAACCCAGGACCTTCCGGTTACAAGGCGAGCTCGTATACCATTAAGCCACTGGGACCCGATCCAATGGTCCTTGAATTCTAACTTCTGCCAGTTCACGACATAGCGCGACCGCTAGCCAATGTCTTCGGCGAGTATTTGTCCTCACACCCGACCAGCTGCACCCTACTGGTCACGACTTCCCACTGGAACCCAGGTAACTACCCCAAAGGGCCCGCCGGTTTTTGTTTATTTGTTTGGTTTTTGTTCAGTTCTAATCTAAATGAAAGAGAGTGTTAGTCCATTGTAGTAAGAGAGTCTGGATAAAATGTTTTTATGAGCACAACATTCAAGTTTTTTTCGAGTGGATGGAAAGAACTTCAGTTGCATGAAGAAAACATAAGCGAAATCATATTGACCGACATGACCTTTATTTAGGTTTTCGAATGAAGTTTGTTCTGATGCTGCGTGACTAGAAGTAATAATGCCTGATTACAGGACTATTCGATTCTAGATAGTCTAGTCAGTAAGTAATGGACCAAGTGGAAAGCCCATTGCTACTCCATCCTTCTGTAGGGTATATTTTGGCCACTGAACTTAAACTTGACCTATACACCTAAGTAATTAGCCCTTTGACATAAGTAGTACGTAGAATGTTGTACAAGCAGGATATTGTCTAGACGCGCTCATGAGCACCTACACCTTTCTTACAATCCATAAGAAAAACACCTGAACTTTGTGTTCATAAACATTTTATCCAGACTCTCTTACTACAATGGCCTAAGACTCTCTTTCATATTTTCTCTATTCGTTAAGTAAGGAACTTAGTGTATTCATTCTTTTTAGTTTTTCCGTGACCCACTTCCATTTCTTTGTGCTCTTCTTTCCTATTGGTTGTCCTCAAATAACTACTCACCACTTGATTGAATAGTTGTTAGCATTCTCGATTACGTAAGACTGCTCACTATTTTTTTCACACACTGTTATTTCTAATACACTCTGATTAACTGACAATAACCTCTGACCTTTAGTTGGTAATTGACACTATACACACATAATCCCCTAAATAACTGTAAGGTTTTGGAGTGAGATTACGAATAGTAGAGATCTCTTTGATGACTCATACATTCGTAATTCACAGTTTTATTCATTAAAAGATGAGTTAATCAATTAAAGGTTAAGAGGCAAGTTACCAAGCTATGAAGAAACTTTACTTTCTTTTTGAATGTATGAATCGCTTTTCAACAATATTCTAGTGATGACCTAGCACTCTGTTTTCGGCCAGTAAGGCACAGGTTGATGTCCTCCTCTTCGACGTATTTCAGGGATGCGCTCTCAACGGTAGTTGCCAGACACCTGATTGGCACGGGGAATACAGTGGAAATTAGTCAAACTTTCAAAATAATCAGTTTAAAAAGGAAACTCCGGTTACTTTGTTTCCAAGATGCCATTGCTGTCAACAGATTTTTAACTCAACCTCTGTATACAAAATGATAGAGTGATAAACCTCTCAATACCCTGATAAGTGTAATTGTTTGGTTCGTGTGTTTGTTTCTACCGCCTAACATTTCACTTCATTTCAACCTTCATTCACTTGAGTGAAGGAAGTTAAAGAAAAGCAAAATGGAAGTTTAGATACTTGGAATTATAAAAGATCACCATACACTAATAGATACTTAGACTTGATGATATTAGATGGTTGGAGGCGATCGGCATGAGGTCTTAGACCTGGGTTTTGTGCTAGTTGGTACTCACCAGTCAGGAAGGCGTATCTGCAACCTTGAAGGATCTCATGTCCCTTCTGAGATTCGAACCCGCGTCACCTAGTCCTGCAGTAAGAGAAGGTACCACTGAGCTATTCGGGCTCAGACTTTGAATCATACCACCCGAAATCGGTAAACACGGGCTCAGTGGATATTTATGCACTTGAGCCGAAAGTTTGACCAGTGAGTCATAAAATTCAAATAAAATGTATAAGAAATAAGTGAAGCATTAACATTGAACAGCTAAACGAAATGAATAACACCAATAAGGAGAATGGAAGGAATGTAAATAACACTAACAGTAAAGAATTCTAAGCCTAAATATATATAAAAAAGGAACACTTGAATTTAATAAGACTGGAATTGGGATGGTATTCGAACCAAGCATTTCATTCAGAGATGTAATGATTGTGAGGTTAATTTGAATATATCAAACTAGAAGAGCAGGGTCAGTTTGGTTATCAGAACGTAGTAATTTAGCTAGATGTGGAATGCTTAATTCTACTAAGTTGAACAACTTTGGACAATTGCAATTGTGCGTCATCTATTGGACACTGGTCATATTGTAGACAACCTTAAGTCGTTCAAAATAATCAACAAGCAAAAGAAACCTAGCTTGCTACGCTTTGCTGAAGCAATTGCTATCAAACGACTTAAACCAAATCTATGTACGCAGAAAGAGACAGTGGTGAATCTTGCACTGCCTTGGTGATAACAAAAAAATATACAACTTTTATGAGTCACCCTTTTCCCTGTTTAGAAAACTCTACTCTCTCATCTAAACATGACTCACCCTACCTTGTTCTTTTCTTTTATCTCTATTGTTAGTAGATAAAACATTTTCTTTAGTTACGTAATCTACTTTTTTGTTATGCTCTTTCTAGCTAAACCTTGTTTCTATACACACACATATATACGCAACTCTGTTTTTTGTTTCCAAGCCTAATTGTCTAATTATTCTATAAATAGTCAGTGTTTGTAACTCTTAATTAGTGAAATCATTCCGGATTAATGTAACTTTTACTTCCTACCAATTACTCCTTGTGATTGTGGAAAAGTATGTTCAAATCTTTAGTGTAATTCATATTTTTTTATCGTTCAGGCTGTAACCAGTTGAGAAGAATCCTCGAAATAATAAAAGATGAGCTCATATTATCCTGGTGCAATTGTTGTTCTTGCTATGTTCAAGATTTTCATTAGGCAGAAATTAGCATGGAAATCTGCTGAACTCAGGCTAAGGAACAAGACCTGGATCTTCAACGTCAATATAAAGTTGGTGCTTCCATATGGTCCAGAGTCTTGGCGCCAGCTTCACGAAAAGCATTTCTAACAGGCTACTGCCTTCGCTCAATTAAGAAGATTGGATGACTGGCCAGGTGCTATGGCAATGAACTAACTAAGAACCTATTGCTTAACAAATATGTAGGAGGAAATGCATTGGACACACGCTTAGATTTTCGATTGATATCACACACCAGACCCTTTAGCGGAAACCGAATAGGAGATAAGTTGGGTGTCTAAG